CGGCGGGCACTAGCCGTCGCTCCCAGACCGCGATCCGGTGCGTGACTCGAGTCGGCGGACGAGCCCGTGCCCCCGAAAGCCGCCGAGGGCGACGTGCTGATGACGCTTTCTACCAGCCACTCGAGCACTTAAGCTGCTGGCCGAAGTGGGCCCTGCCAGCCCGTCTGGCACGGCTCATAAAGTCGTGACCGGGTGGGGACGTGGGCAGGACCTGCAACGCCCACACACAAAATCACCCCCACGCTAACTGGGCCGGGAAAGCAGCTTTGTGGTGCCATCGGTTGCAATTAAATAGCAATTAGACGCTATTGCAGGCCCTTTTACTTCATCCACAGAACATTCCCCGTGATAATTAAGAAGTTGTGTACATTCAATGTGCAATCTAATCCTGGCAATCAATGTCATTGCCAAGCAGGGCCTGGTGGCGTACCGTGCCGCTTTCTTGACGGCAGATTCATTGCCGACCATATGCCACCGACTTCGCCATTAAACGCGCCCTGACTCGTAAGTGCATGTTTTCTTCACGGGACAAAAGCCAACGTGTGACCTGCTTCTACCTGCCAACAGTGATTGGGCCACACCGCGCTCCATCTAGCCACCCGGCGCCCTCTGCGATTCTGCAGCATCACTTTCGAACGGAAGCCATCCCTCCGTGCAGAGAACCCGTGTGGCGAGCGGCAGCCCGCGGCTGTTCCGAGCCGCAGCCCGATGCCGGCGCGCAAACGGCGGCCGACGGCAGCGCCACCACCGGCCGTCCCGGCCACCTGGGAAACTGCACGCCGTGGAATCCCTGGAGGCCGCCCTGCATACGGACGACAGGCTGGACTCTCCGGCGCCCGTCCTCGGTTATCGGGCGTGTGGACACGCGCCGCCGGTGGTCGGTCACCGCGGTCAGGTATCGCTGTAGCCGGTCAATACGGAGGAGCGTCTTTGGTGAGGGGCACCGCCGCGCCAGGACGCCAATGAGAGGTCGCCTGGCTTGCGCAGGTCGCTATCCGCCCCTGCTATCATCTTTCCCACTTTATCCTGCCTCCTCGCGACGGACTATGTCCAGAGCAGGCTGCACGCGTCAGCTGCGAGTGGGCTAAAGTGCATCCTGGTGGGGACCCCGTCCGGTCGGATTGGGTCCCGACTGTTGGGTCCCCGGGTGCATGTAGTCCCACCCCAACGTTACCCATTCTCTTCATCCCGTGGCCCTGAAATGGTCATTACCAGTCGTTTGTGACCCAAACGACCAGTATGTGTATGGCAAACTGACATCATCGGACGAACTTACTGCGGAAGTATCTCCACACAAATGCGACAACAAACCGGCGTAAGCCATTGTATTACCATCTTTATTAGCTGCATTCCGATCCACCAGACTTCATTACCAGGCCGATCGGCTTGATTAACGGGTACATTACGACGACACTGAAATCGCCTCCCGGCGCCGAGTCGTTGCCTGGTTCTGCTATTGGCAGTGGGGCGACACCCCGCCGTGACCCGGTGACGCACAATGGCTTAGTGAAGCGGGGTATCGGCCGGTGGCGGGCTCAGCTTTGGACGCATCCAGCGAGGCGCCGCGCTCTTCACCTGAGAATGGGATCATACGCATGGCTAGCGTTCTGGGAAGTCTCACTGGCAGCATATTGGCCGAACGAGGCTTTTAATGGGGGCTTCGCTCACCGAGACGGCACTATCGTTGGTGAAATGCTGCCTATGCACTTATTCGCCCACTTTTACTTGTGGTGAACCCGGCGGAACAGGCAGATGAGGCCCCACGACATTGGTAGGCCACGACGCCTTCTGAAACCGCACGTCCAGCTAAGCACGTGCAAAAAGCATGCGCACAACTTTGACAGATACCATACCTGCCTGGGATAGACATGGACCTTATGAGGTGTAAAACACGCATTGTTATCCGCAACGCGTAGCATTTGTCGCCAAATGGATCCTGAACAACTCGGTGTGGTTTTTGGGCAGACACAGGGCGGCCGCAGCGCGGTTGACCCGGGCACAGGATGGCCACCTCGACCCTGATCGGCGGGCGGCGCACGCTCCGCCGCCAGCCGTGAAAGCCGGCCAGAAAGCCCTGCGCTTTCGATCCGGCGGTGCGCCTACACAATAGCGCCGTGTCGAAAGGAGAGAAAAAGTTCGCGCCGGACACGAGCGCCGCCGCCACTTACGGCATGGATCAGTGACCCCCGCCCCCCCCCCCCCCCCCCCAGACCACGGTCAGCCCGCCGCCGGTCAGCCGGGCGGCCGGCTCAGTATTGCTCAGTGATGGGAGAGCTGCCGCCGCAGTGCGAATAACGCCAAATTGGCATCAGCGATGTGAAGTTAAGGAGGGTGGACGTGCTGGGTGTGAGAGAGCCATGTGTCGAGCGGTAAGTTCGCATGGCCTACGGCGCCCGCAAAGCAACCATCTCACGATGGAAAACAATAGAAGTCAATGTGGCGAAGTTGTCACAGCGAGCTCTTTTTTATATCAAAGTCTTAAAATCGGTTAGATTCCCTGCAACGTTGGAGCGATCGCTGCGCCTGCTAACGCAGTCTCCAGCCGAGATTGGGCTTGTATTTCTCAGCATCCTCTGTTTGCCTGGTGTCGGCCTCGGCCATAATGCTCTAACTCGATATAGCAGAGACCAATGGTGATTCAGTGGGTCTCTGTCGCTGTTTCGACAGCTGAAATCTGGCGCGATAGCTCAGCATTCGCCCAGCTCTTGGCTTAACACCTCATATCCGCCTGGCTTCCGAAAAAGCCTCGTCTCCGGCTAGCTCCGCTGGAGCCGCTCGCTGGAGTTGGCTTGAGGTATGACGTTCATATTTCCACCTGAACAGCCACAAGAGCCCCGTTTCAGGGTTGCTGCTGTTGCCACCACCTCATGTCAGATTCACTCCTGATATGATAACGCCATCTGCACTTAAAACCTGGCAAAACGGCCACACCCCGATCTGTCTCCTAGCAAACAGCCTCATCTCCGCCTGGTCCCCTTTACAACAGCCCCATCTCCGCCTTGTTCAGCATCATCTCCACCCTACAGCAGAACTGGCCGTATCCCGACTACGGCAGCCCCATCTCGGTCGGGCTGCGGGCGCAGCGGCGCCGTGGGCGGCCGGCTGCTGCTCCGGCGGCGCGGGTCGCGTCTGGAGAGGCCGTCCCGCTGACCCACTAACGCTCTGAAGGTCAACAAACCTGAGCGGAACGCGGAACCAGAAACGCGGTCAGCCGGCGCCGGGCGGCCGGCGAGTGACGTCACCGGTCGAAGAGCGCGTCACAGAGCCGCCGGCGCTGGCTGCCGGGTGCGGGGACCCGCACGAGCCGCGCCGGCCGCGCCCCACCTGAGCTCACGCTGCGTGAACTCGACCGGCCACCGCCGGCCATTCCTCTGCACCGGTGCCCGTGCCTCTCGAGTCCCAGCTGCAGAGACCGGGCGGCGCCCGCGGGGCATTCCTCTGCGCGTGCGCCGTGCAGGGATGGGTGTGAGCCTCTCGCCCGGGTCAACACTAGCACGCTCAGGCACGCGCGGAAGCGAGCCGCACCCGGTGATGCACGACTATCGGATCCGCGCGGTGGCAGCGCACGCGCCCGCGGGATCTGGGTCGGATCGCTGCGTTGACGCAATCAATGCAGGAAGCCAACTCGTCGCATAACTCAGGCATGAGCGTGACAAGTCCAGCGACACATACTTCGACCACAGGCTCATCAAGCACGCAGCTAACTCGTCCAATCAGCACTGAAGTGTCATGTAAAGCTCATATCGAAGCAGCGTGGGTGGATACGGAGCCTCCGTGACACCGGTCTTAGACATGGTTCAGGGCAAACCCCAGTTGCACTCGCGGCCGCTCTGGACGCGGCTGCCGGCTGCTCTAGATGCAGCTCCGGCGACTTGGAGCGGTTCAGACGATTCAGCTGCATTTGCTGGCGACTTAATCGCATCCCCTTCATCTCCAAACCGCGGCTTTCCATCACATATCGGGGCACGATACGGCCATAGTTGTCAAAGCGCCCCCCCCCCCCGGCCCAAAAAATAGATCACCTGTCATATGTTAGAGACTAGGAAATTCTGACCCGCACCTTTCGGCAGCTCTAAGACGCAGTTTCATTCAGATCTGAACTGCAGCCCCATACGTCCGCGAGCCCCAGCTTCTGCATGTGTTATGTACGTGGTTGGGCCGCAGTTCCCACCATGTTCGAGCTGCGGTCCTAGGCATCTCCGAGTCGCAGCCCCACGCTCAGCTCTGGAGGAGCCAGCCCGAGCCAGCGGCGGTACCGCGGGCTCGTGCGCCCCCAGCGCGTCGCCCGGTCGGCGCGCAGCGGCTCCGTTCTGCGCGGCGCGTGACACAGATGAGCGGCGCCGCGGCCGGCCCCGCCCGACAGCTGGCTCGCGGCCGGGCGCGGCCGACGCCAGCGCGGCCCGCCCCGGCCGGCCGGCCCGCGCGCCGCTCATTCATTCGACCCGCCCGCTCGCCGGCCGGCCGGCCGGGTCGGCGGCGGCGGCAGCCCGGCAGGCGCGGCCGCCGCCCCGACGGTGCCGTTAGACGCCTCTGAACGGGCAGGGGCGCGCCCAGCGGCGCCGACGCCGGCGACGCCGACGGGAGCGGTCTCGAGGTGCGATGCGCTGTGGGGATGTCTGTGACACGGCCATGTGAGGAGGCTGATGGGACATTGGTTGGGTCACCGGTTGGTGGGTGGACAACAGGAGGTTGTTAGCGAGGTGGGCTGTTGAAGATCGACGCGAGAGGGCTTCTGAATACGGGCCTGCCGGCAGCCGCGTGTGGCCACCTGTTGAACGCCGAGCCACGGTCTTCCGTGCGACCTTGTGACCTCGAGTGGTTGAGGTCAACGCGGGTCAGACGGCGTCGCACTTCACCAACGGACCACCGACCGGTCTGTGATGCCGATCTAGTAGACTGGAGGGCGATATGAGCTGCCCGACGCGAAACGGCTGGGTCAACGGCCATGCAAATGCGACGTAAATGCGGCAGAAATCGTCTGCATCGTCCTACCATGCCCAGAAGCGTGCCACTGCTGCAGCACTGCCTCATTTCCAAAAACATGAACTGTGCGACTGCAGATAGTGACATACATCCGTCCTTTCATGTCATGCAATTCAATGTCCCCACATTTCTCATGTTGCCTGAAATCAACGCGGACGAGCGCACTGACACAGAAGTACAACGGCATGCATAAGTCACGTTGACATAACGTGAATGATATTACGGGCTCACGTTTCCAAGCCCTGGTTGAATGTGAGCCAAGAAGCTATCGATGAAAAATGCCAAATGTTGGTAAAGTGGAGGGCGCTGTGTTCAAATAAGTTTTCATATCGATCAAAACGCTACTTCTGGGAAGAGAACTCTTGATCTAAATTGCAGCAGCAGAAAATATTCAAGACGTTTTCTTACGGCAACGAGTTCTGTAACTGCTGTAAAAGTTCTGCTCCCCTTAGTTTGGGTTTGTAAAAAGTTCTGTTAGTAACAAAAAATCGAAAATTTTTGGGCACGATTTAGAGTAGCGCATATCGTGAGAAACAATGCACATCTTCTTAAGATAACTTCATCTCTCATCCTCTTCAGCATGATGCTGCACCCGCGCAGGTAATCCCGTCCCTGCCACAGGTGTGGGGCCTCGCGATGATTCATCGCTGACGTCACACTGCCCCTGCCACAGGTGTGAAGCCCCACGGTGGAGTACCGCTGACCTAGGCCAATACGGCATGCATCATTCTAGCCATACGTGTTCCAACATCATCGCGGGCAAGAGTGAGCCACCGGCCTGACGTCCCTCCCCACCGCCAGCCATCGCGCGCCACCCCCAGCAGCTGGACGAGCTGCTCGCCCCGCCGCAGTGCGCCCGCCCTCCGTCATCCCCGATCGGGCCGTCGGCGGAGCCGCGCTGCCACGGCCAGTCACGCCGGTGCCGGCCGCCTCGGCCAGCGTCAGGAACGCGGCCCGCACGGGTCATTATCCGACGCACACGCGCCACCGCGTCCGCCGGCGAAACAAGGTCACCATGACGCCGCGTGGGCTACTTGGCCGCGCGCGCACGCGTGCGCCGCTCTCACTCTTGCCGACATCGGGAGCGGCGACCGCGGCGAGGGTAGCGCGCCGGCGCTTTTTGTGGCGCCGCAGACGCAGCTGCCGCCGGCTGCGGCGCACAGGCAAACTTTCCCGCAGCGGCTCCCAGCGTGCTAGGCGGCCGGGCCGGCTTACTTCGTGAGAGGCCGCCTGCTGGGGTTTTTGAGATGGGTTGTTTCCGGAGTCGATTTGCGTGCGGGATGCGAAAGCTGACAGGTGCGGCCGTCGCGCCGCTGTCCGACCATCGCAACTGACGCTAGCGCTTCGGAACAGTCTGGCCCGCCGCGTGATCCCGGCTCGGAGCAGCCCGCTCATGACGCCGACGCTCCGGAAGAGCCTGGCCCGCCGTGCGACCCCGACTCAACGCAGCCCGCTCCTGGAACACGGACGCATGCCCGCCAGGCACTGATCCAGTGCAGCGGCGTCTCCACGCTGTCGGTGCAAGCGTACCACGGGTGGTCGATGGAGGGTGTCAGGAAGTTTCGCCGACCTGCGCCAATACTCATGCCATGCCTCCTCAGCCGACATTGCCACGGCTCGACGCCCCGTTGCCTTCAGCACACACCGTGCCATATTTTGTGTCAGCTATGAGCTGCAAGAGTAGCTCAGAGCGAGGCAAGACGGATATCCGTCATCCAAAGCTGTCTTCGCGACTGTCGGCGAAATTTGTGTTAATGTGAAGTAGTCACGACTTTGTTCAGCGGTCAAACACCAGTTTAGATGCATCTAGCTTCGCAAAATCGCATCTTTTAGGCTGTTATGACAGCAAGGTTTGTTCAGGGGGTTTCACCCAGTTGTACAGTTTTTGGGCAGCTAATATTACTGGTGCGAAAACGGGGCGTCCAGCGCTACATGATCCTGGTGCGTGGTGCGTGAAATTTCTCACGCACCATGCACCGTTAAATTGTGCATACAGCACGGCATAAAAAGAGAAGCCACGAGCACGTTATTTCATCGCAAACCTGCTTTCCAGGTCAGATCCACGCACATCAGTCTCCTTCGACCCCGAAACAGCCCCGGGATACGCTGAGCCCGGTGAGGGCCAGACGATAGCCATGTGGGCCCGGCGAGGACCAGATGACAGCCATGTGGGCCCGGCGAGGGCCAGACAACAGCCATGTGGGCCCGACGAAGGCCAGACGGCAGCCATGTGGGCCTGGCGAGGGCCAGGCGACGGCCATGTGGGCCCGATGAGGGCCAGACGGCAGCCATGTGGGCCCAGCGAAGGCCAGACGGCAGCCATGTGAAGGCCAGACGACAGCCATGTGGGCCCGCCGCAAAGCATGGGTCCGATCACATAACTGTCACACTGCGCTCCATATAAGAAAGAGAACAGTCACGCTGCGACAATTACGCCAGAAGGGATCTCCACGGGCCTAAATAGAGGGCGGCACCCTTCAGCACATACTCTCGGGGGAAGGGGGCGGAGGGGGGGGGGGGGGGCTGGCATCGCGTGTGATGCTGCGCGTTCCTCTACACTTGGGTGATGACCCAGTCTGCGACATGCAAGAGCACTCTAATGTATTCAGGAGGCATTTGGAAAATATCACATAACAGCACCGCATGGCAACCGAGAGAAGGCAGAATGTTAGGACGCATGGCGTGGTCGCGCCGCCGCAAGCTTCCCTCCAGGGCATTCTCTCGGGCCCAGCCCAACAACGCCCGGGACGGGGAAGAGCCCGCCCGGAGCACACGCCCTCCCTGCGAGACCACGCTTCCAGCATCAGCGCGGCAGCGAGGTCACGAGCTCCAGCTGTCGCCAGCGCGTCACCGGCCAGCCCCACCCGGCCCGGCCCGACCCGACCCGCTCCCCACCGGCCGCCCAGGCTCCACAGGCCGCCGGCCCGGCCCGGAGCGCCCAGCACACCGGGCCGGTCCCTCACGTCTCCCGTCACACCGCACCGGCGGGGGCTCAGCCCTTGATAACGGCCACCGGCCTCAGCTTGATGCACTTCTTGCTGATGCCGGCCGCGTGGCACGTGTCCACCACGTCCGTCACGTTCTTGTAGGACTCTGGCGCCTCCTCCATCACCAGCTTGGGCGAGGCCACGCGCACAGAGATGCCCATCTCGTTCATTTTGGCCAGCACCTGCTGGTACTCTAGGTTGCGGCGCGACTTGGCCCGCGACATGGCTCGCCCCTGGCGGTGGAACGCGGAGTTAGACAGGCGGCGCTGGAAGACAGCATGCGCAAATAATCGCAAACAGCACAGAACAAAATTTTGCAGCAAACAACCACGATTCACGATTTCATTTGCATAAAACATTTTCGTTTTCAACTCAGTCGGTCTGAAACGTACGCGAGAGAGTGCCACGCTCACCACAAGAGACCACGTCAGCGTACAGCCGGCAGCGAGCCCCGCGCCTGCCGGCGCCCAGTCCGACGGCCGTTGCGGGCGGCGCTGCTGGCGGGCCGAACTCACCGCCCCGTGACAGGTCGACCCGAACGTCTCGAGCATGCCCCGCTCGGTGCCGGTGAGCACGTAGCTGCAGGTGCCCATGGTGCCGCCGATGAGCACCGGCTGCCCGGTCAGCTGGTAGTCCACCGGGATCATCGGGTGGTGCGGAGGGAACGCCCGCGTCGAGCCCTGCGGCGGGTCAGCCGCTGGTCACTGCAGCTCTGTGTGCCAGGTGCCAACGGCGGTTGGGCTCGACCGGCACCATGTTGCCGGTTACCCGGTCAGTCCGTGCCGAGTGGTGTCAGACGATCTCCGGTCGTGCCAGCATCTTTTCGACAACTACAACAGCTCAGACCGCATGACCCCAGTGTTATAATTTTAGCTTTTTCAGGGGATTCATCCCTGGTAAAATTTGTATCCCATCAGTTTGTGTTGGTTCATTCCAATGGTGCGTTCCTGTGAATGACAGAAGATCTCGTGACGGATTTTACACAAAACATCGGGTATTTCGGACACTAGACGGCGCTTGATGCCTGGGCCGCCGAAGCCCCACGGTATCCGATGGGAATTAAAGGGATAAGAAAATACGCGTATAAATCTGATGAGTTCAACAGGCGTTGCGCTGCTTAGGCAAAAAGGTTTAGTTTGCTTCACAGAGAAATTGTTCATAAGAATTTCTTGTCGACACGCCGCGGGGTTTGCAAATCCAGTAGTGTTCATTTTGTGTTCACCTGGGTAAGCATCAGTGTGGAATGGGAAATTTGTTATAGCTGAAGATTGACAGCCTTTTGTGATTCAGTAGCATATGGGGACTTTGGTTTGGAATATGACCCAAAAATGACAAATCTTTTAATGATTCAAATCACTTCTTACCTTTCCATTTAAGTCTTGAACTTACACTAATATAACAAGAAAGTAAACGGCCTTTAACCTAGTTTGATGAAAACCAACCTTTTCACGTTTTTCGTTCAGTTAACTGAATGAATATTTTGGACAAGAAAATATTTAACACATTATTTTCATCTTCTCATATGGCTGTGATGATGCACATTCCAAATTGGTCATCGAAATGAGAACATGTCACTCAGTGCTTGAATCTTTGTCCATAACCCTCGCTCTGATTCGTCGCTTTCATACTGCGGACTGATAGAGGGGTTGATGGGACCTTCCCCTCCCCTGGCATATCCAAATACATAAAGGTAGATCCTAGCGGAAAACACCGGTGGATTGGTCTCAGCGAGATCTCGCGATTGGCACCAGTTGTATATTGTTAGGTCAATGACTGATATCACTGTGTCGAGTCAAAAGGCCAAATTTTCCGGAAAACTGCGCCTTTTCAGCTTTACGTCATACATTACATCTTACATCAAGACCACGCCTCGTCGCGACACAAAACAAACACAGCCGTGGTTTTTTTCAGTTACGAGCATAACTGTGTATACCTTTGTGTTTTGAGCATATATTCACGATATATGACTCCGTTAATGTAACAACGTCGGCCCGTCGCGAGCGTTCCGCGGCGGCGTCGGTTGCAGCCGGCGGCCGCGCCGGCCGTAGATCGTCATGCAGTGTTCCTCAGAAACCGCCGCTGCTCCAAATGCAGAAAGGCTATGAATACGTTTTTAGTGTGCAAAACACGCGCAACGGATGTTCCATGGGCTAATGAAGATTTTGGAGGTCATTGTCCAACATGCTGGATAGGTATCCTCAAGAAAACCTCAGGAGGGGGTCGCATCGAACTCCCCTGACCCCCCCCCCCCCCCCCCCCCAATCAGGGCGAGAATTAAGATTCAGTTTCTAAGACTTGAAATTTAAACTTATCTCAACCCTGCAACTCCGAATCCATAACTCTAGCACGGGTGCTGTTTGGTTGTTCAGGTGCCAGAAACGTCAGGAAATTGAATGAGAGGTTGGAAAGGCACCTAAGAGGGAATTCCTCTGAACAATGGAAGCCATTTCGCTCATATTGGGTTAAACTTGCCAACATGTTAGCCATCATTATCGAGCCTTGTCTGCCTTGTCTTCTGAATTATTCAGATTTGGCTCAACTTCAAATCAAGGGACAGGCTGCGCACTCACCTGGATGAGGCATCAGCTCCCTGACCAAATTTCAAAAGAACACCGTTCAGCCTCCCCTACCCTCCCCTAACGATTCGTACCCATCACCTTGCTGAAGGTTTTGGGACAGAGGTCTCAGCATAGGAGGATTTACTCTAGGATTATTTACTAGGAGGATGGTGCGGTGGCATGCCGGCTCAAAGGGCAATGTCTCCGAGGCTTCCGTCTGTAACCAGCAGATGAACTCCCACCGCGATTCGCCATGCTTTCCAAACAAGGACTGATAGCGAGAAGGTGTTTTTGGACTCTAAACAAGCGCAATAAATACCCTAAATGCCCCATAGGCTTATGAAAGTTTGGACGCGATTGCACCAAATGACGGAGAGGTATCTTCAACAAGACCTTAGGGGGTTGCATCATCCCCCCCCCCCCCCCTATCAGGGCGAGGGTTAACAGCATCTGGATTACAGATTACTCCTGAGATGGCTGGATAGGGAAAAGGGTTAGCAGGTTTTCGATCTTGTGGAATATGTATTGATTTCAATGCTTGCTTAGATTACTTTAGTCAAGAACTTCACCTAATTTTGCGGTCGATTTTAACAAGAGAGGCTAACGCCAACATAAAAAGTTTATTTTGTATTCCTATACAAAAAACTTCCTTCAACAGAGAATTTATCGGGCTTGTGGCGGAGTGGGGCACGACGTAGGTCACGTGCATGTCAAGGTAGTCGGGCGTCATGTTGAAATGTTTGGCGAATACCTCCTCGGGATATATCCTCCTCTGAGGATGAGCACAGCTCCAAATATTAAACACCGCCAACACAATCGTTATCTAGCACTACAACGTAGTCTAGCCAGTACCCGCTGGTACATTGAAGATCATTAACTTCACATAGGAGCTTTCAGCTGAATGGTCAGATCCACGGCTTACCGACCTTTCTGTGCACTAGAAGCGTTTTTTGTTTGCCGTCGATGAAGTGTTCCTCCACCTTGGCGATGTTGTGGGAGACGTCGTAGATCACGTGCATGTCAAGGTCGTCAGGCGCCATGTTGAACTGCTTGGCGAACGCCTATTGGGGCGGCCAGGTGGTTAGTTGATGATGAGGCAGCTTTGGTGCACATGATCCACCGAGTCGAACATGCCATTGCAAATCCTCGACCATGTCCACACGTATCTTAAATCATTTTTTCATATTGAATGACACGAATCAATTTGGCTTCCTTACGAAATATCCCGGACGTGCCTACCGATCGAATACTTGACGCGCTGGAACACATCAGCCCTTCATATCCTCAATGTCTCCCCCACTAAGCGACCATCCCGCCCAACAATGTCGGGCCCACATTGGCATCCAATCCGTCCAGACTCCTGCGTAAAATCTCCGTCAATTTTCCCGTGCACGTTTCATTTGTGGGCCCTCGGCGGCCACACTGTACCCTGGACCACGGACCTGGCGGCAGAGGAAGGTCATGGAGCTGCGGTTGACCCAGGCGAAGTTGGCGGCGCACGACATGCCCTTCAGGTAGTCCTGGCCCTCCTTGGAGCTGATGCGCGCGCACGCCAGCTGCCGGTCATTGGTGGCGATGTTGTCGCGCTTCATCGCCTTCTCCATCTGCACCAGGGCGTCTGCGCACAGCGAGGGCGGCGGCTTTGGAGCGGCGCAGAGCGTGGGCGGGTCGGGGCGGGCGGGGCGGGCCTGCCCAGGTCCGGAGCCGGCCGGCCGGCCCACCGCCACGCCCGGTCAGTCGGCGAGCGCGGGTCCGGCACCGCACAGAGGGGTCGGAGCGGGGAACAGAGGGGGCCGCGGCCTCTATTCGAGCCTCGGTTGGCCCCGCTGGTTTACCAGAATACGTCAGCGGTGACGTCACGGTCCGTCTGACCCGCCCCACGTGCCGCCATTCCTGCGGCGAGGCACACGTCAGGCGGCGAGGCAGGCAGCGCGAGACACCGCGCCGCCACGCAAGCTGCGAGCATCGCTCCGCTGACCGCGCCGCAGGCTATGGCCTTCGCCGCTGCCACACCAGACCCTCGCAGAGCGCACCAACCCAGTCACCAGTCAGGTGGCCGGCTAACGCCACATATCACCTCCCGGCGACAGAAACTCCCCCAAACGTCACCAGCTGTCCTCAAACGACGTGCAAAGCCAAGCCCATCCCACTCCGACCTTCACCGGACCCTGCTCTCGCCAGAGCAGCGTCACATACCGGCTCACTGGCGCCACCTCACGCGGCTTCTCACCGGTAGCCACCTGGTGACCGAACCCGCGGCTGCCGCTGTGGATCATCACGCACACCTGGCCCTTGAACTCGACGCCCATCTTGCTGGCCGCCCACGGGTCGTAGATCTCGTCCACCACCTGGATCTCGGCGTAGTGGTTTCCGGCGCCCAGCGTGCCCAGCTGGCGGGGGAGGGGGGGGGGGGGGGAGCGGGTCAGACGGCGGCGGGCGCGGCGGCGCACGTGACGCACCAGCCGCGCCGCAGTGCACCAGCGCAGCACGTGGCGAGGCGATCAATACGTCATCACCGCTGGAAAGTGCAGTGGCTCATCTACGTGGACCGTGATGGTAGGATGCACTGTGGCCGTGACTGTCACAATTAGGTACCGGCTGCACGCTAACGACACAAGACACCTCCAGTCCATAACCTAGCGGGTAAATCGATTGGACACAACTGAGAGCTGTCCTCCTTACCTGAGGAAGGCCTCGCTTCTTGGCTCGCGTGCTGACTTTGGTCGGGTCCGCGTTCAACATCCTTCCGTACTCCTCGCAGTGCTCCTTGTCCTCCGCCCAAACGTAGCCTGAGGGGCGAAACGGCAAATAAGCACCCCTTCACACGGCGTGATCTCGGCGAAAAGAACATACGAACCACTTCAAGAGCCGCAAAATGAACGTGGATAGCCCGCAATCATTTGCAACTTACAGTCGGCCGTGTGGAGGTTCTAAGTGTTTTAAATAATACGCTGACCATCCACGCTCATACATCTTTTGACTTGAAAAACGGGTCAGAACACAGCTGGTCAATGTCCGCTCGCCCGCACACGTCGCATAGCGTAGCTGATGCCACAAAGTCGAAACGAAATCGCGGCGCAAGGTGCAGCCGAGGTGCCACGCAATTGAACCATCCCTTTCTAGAGGAATCAGTCAGTGATGGGTCGTATTCTTCGTCGCACGCAGGCAGTGTACCATGTACCATGTCCCGCACTACTACCCTCCCCCTCCCCCTCTGAGGGGACAATCAGGGACATGTCGAGTGCGTGCTGGGTCAGTCAAGTGACACATATCGAGAGCCACGGCCGTATCAGCCCCGCCGACCCCGCCGAGGGGATTCAACCAGGGACTTTCCAGATCTGACCGTCAAGTCCCACACCACATACCCTGCCGAAGGGACCAGTCCATGCCCATCTCGAGCGCTTCCTCCAGGTCCTGGGCGTTCATCGGGATGATGCCCTTGCTGCCGACGCCCACCGGGATGTGGTCAAACATGCTCTGCGCCAGCTGCTCCTGTGGGGCGGCGCGGGGCGGACGGCGTGAGGTCGGATCGCCCCTGCAGACCACTGCTGACCACTGGCCGCTGATGGCGGCTCACATCAGGCCGGTGTGCCACTGGTGTGACCCGCTGATGGCGGGTCACATCATCAGTCAGGGACCGGCCATACTGCGTGACTGCAAGCTCGAGATTGACCGCAGATCACGTTCAAAGTGTATCGCCGGTGATCCACCGTAAGTAAGTTATGGAAACCAATGACCACTTGTGGCCGAGGAAAACGCTTTTGGGAAAGCACGGCAGATTTGATCACAGGTTACCACACGACGCAAATATCCGCGGACATGGCACATCAGACAGAGCTGCACAACTTCAGACCGTCTGTACTGGACCCACATCCGTCGTGATCTGACAGAGATTCCGCGCGGGCATGACGTCGTCACCTGGACGGGCTGCACGTCCTTGTAGTTGAGGTTGGTGCGCAGCAGGCGGACGCCGCAGTTGATGTCGAAGCCGACGCCGCCGGGCGACACCACCGACGCGGGGTTGGACATGTCGAACGCCGCCATGTTGCCTGGCCGGGCCCGACACCGTGTGACCCAGGACATCCGTCGGACCGCACGCCCGCGTGACGACCCTCGTCACGGGTTGGACGGCGCGCTGGCCTCCGACGTAGCGCGTACACCACAGGGTTGCGAGCTCACTCAGTACAGCGCGCAGGATGTCAATATGAATCCACGCCACCAGCCTTCCGGCTCCCGCTCCCCGGCGCCATCCGCAAACACGACTCGCTGGCAGGTAATCCCCTGCCCTCCGACTCCCAGCCCTGACATCTGAGATGGCCGGCCCACTTGCTAACTCCCGGACGGCTTGACGCGGTGTCGACCACCGCCCAGCCCGACGCTGACCGACCGATCTTCAGCGAGGGGAGAAGCAACCGGCGGTGGCCTCGAGCCGGGGTGTGATAGCATAAAAAAGCATCAACATCCTTGCTACCCAGGTGGCCGAATATTGCGACACTGCCCCACCGCGGCGCCTGGCCCAGCCGCAAAACACGCCAGGTGCAATGGGATCAACAACACAGGCGGAAACTCCGCAAACGCTTGCGCAAGCTGACGCATCCCCCTCCCCACCCCGTCCCACCCAGCGGCGCGAGCTCACCGATGGCGAAGCCGTAGCCGGCGTGTACGTCCGGCAGGCCGACGGAGCGGCCGACAATGCCGGGCAGCGCCGCCACGTTGGCGATCTGTTTGACGCCGGGCAGGAAGCCGCCGACAGCGCCGGCGCGGCACGAGTTGCGCAGCTCGTCCAGCATGAGCCGCTCCAGCGGCGCGTTCACGTAGAACACGCCTTCGACGTTCATGTTGGGCTGGAAGCCCTTCTTGATGCGCCAGCTGTGCGGCGTCAGGCGCTCCAGGTATTTGAGCTCCTCGTCATACGACCGGACCACCATCGCTGCTGATTGACCGGCGGTCGCCGCAGGCGTGGATCTCTGGTGGCAGAAGGCCGGTCAGAGCTAGGAGACTGTGACGCGCACGAATGGTGGTTCGGGGAGGGGTTCCACTTTAGGCTACAGTTTAACTGTGCACAAGTCCTTCTGGGTTATGCTGGTCTTATTTGAAAGGCAGGGTAGTTTTCCCTCATTATTCAGTCACTTCATCACATTCCTCCATTTGAAATTGTAATACTTACAAAACTCAAAAAATGATTTGCTCGCCACTATGACAAGCACATGATTTGTACCTGCTTCCATTATGTCTACCTTTACCATGCATCTTTGTTGAGTGAGCACACTTTGTGACAACTGCATATTTCTTGAGTCAGTAGGCTCTGCAAACTGTGGTTCACTTCTTTGTAACATGTAGTGTGAGGGCTTAAGATACCTTATTCTGGTAAGAGCAAAAAAATGTTCTAATCAAGCGAAAACCTGACACCTTTGGCTTGAACAAGAGCCAACCTCTGTCTGCAGTCAGGGCAGTGATGAAATACTGATACCAGGTGCACAGTGAATTCATTAAACTGTTTCTATTGATGGGCTAGCATCCAGCAGGTATATGGTTGCAGCCATTGTGTGAAGTCACTTAAAGTTTTGAACAGGCTATTTAGGGTTCAAATTTGCATCAGAACATGAGTTGGTTGAAGTATGCTTTGGGTCCCCCATGTGCAATTTCTAGTGTCATTCATTTCACTATGCATAGTCTGTAGCCCTGCATATAGCACTATCACACATTTGTGATAACCTGTGAAAAAAGAAAAGTGTCACTCTTCCTTCAACCTGTAGCTACCTTACCTGACATGATCTTGGGGACTGAAAGCACCCCTCCCTTCCCACTGTTTCCAGATCTAATTGTCAGTTCTGCAAAACTCTAACTTGAATCATTACAACCCTGCTCACTTTCATTCAGATATCAATTGGCTGACAGACATATTCTCTCCCCTGACTGCTGACATGAATGGTAGCACCAAACACCTGGGAGACTCCTGGCATTACAGACTGATCTCAGAGCTATCCAGGACTTTAAATATTAAGCCTCATAACTATTATGCCTCATAGCTGGTAAGACAAAGAGTGTGTTCTTGTGCATCAAAACAATGCTGGTGTTAAAAAAGACTGACAGTCAAGGTCAGCCCAGGTCTGGTAAGAGCATATGAATTCAGCCAATGGTGAAGCCAGATCAGTTCAGTCATCCATTATAAAAGATCCAAGTACATCCTGTGTCCTTGTCCATTTGAGCAAACTAGCTAACATTGGGTGGCATTTCCTGCAATAATTCAGGACCCATTTCAGAGCATGGTCAAGATACATAATCTGTTTTTTTCTGAGCATAGCTATGGCTATTGGCCAGTGCACAAACATTTTTTGCCCCTATGGTACCCATATCTGGAGGATAATTTCAGGACTGGCCAAACAAATGGAGAATCCCTGTAAATCCCTCGGTCACACCATCCCCTAATTTAACCTTGTGAAGAAAAGATGGGAAAAGGCTGCCGAGTGCTGACCCATTATTTTTCTTGATTGTGACTTGACTAAACACACAATCTTATACCTCCAGCACAAAGTGAGCTAGAAAGCAAACTTCTCAGAATAAGTGTTTCTATTTCAGTCACAATCCTCAGCCGCATGATTGAGGTTCACATCGGTACCTGACACTGATGCATCATATTGTTATTAATGGACGTTTTAAGACATCAGACACCATAAATGATCATACGACAAGAACATTCTAGGAAACACCTCATCATCTTACCTAAAAAAATACCACAGGAGACGCCTGCCTACGCGTGCCTTTCACACCAATGGCACGATACTACCGCATCAAGGACATTCCCGACATGCATTTATTCCGACAGATATGAAAATTCCACCCTTAGCAAAAATATGTTGTAAAGCTACCAGCTGACAAAAGCTTGTATTTTATTTGCGCGAAATACCAAACTTTCGCATGAGAACTTTCGCACCCTTCAGCAAATTCCGCTGCCCACGCGCGGGCTGCGTGTTGTCTTTCAAGCTCGCAGGAACTGATCAAAAGGGCGTGACGATGCTGGGCATGATGAGCAAATTTTGTTAAGTCACTTTTAAAGTCTGATGAAGTGTGCGTCTCTGGTTTGGTTCCCACTGATCGCGGTTTATGACTAGGTTGTGACTTCTTGCAGGCCTGACACAAATTTGAGCCTGAATCATGAATTATATTAGTAAGGTTAACATAGGCATAAGCAGAAGCGCAGTCGGGGGAGGGTCAAAGGGGGGGGGGGCACGTGCTCCTCCCTCTCAGGTTCCGAGGGACCGAAGGACTCCTCAGAACCTACGACTAAGGCCCCGATTTGTGAGCCCGAAGGGCCCAAAAGGCCGACCGAAGGTCGCATTCAGAAGCCCCGGCCAGCAGGGCCAGGCACTCCAATGCTATCAAGAGGGCCCTGCGCGCTGATCAAGGCTCCCCTGACTCGATGAGGGCCTATATGTCGGTTGGACACCATCAAGAACTCACTTGCGTGGCGGCATGGGCCTGAGGACCAACTACTCAAGCAGGAACAGAACCGGGGTTAGCGATTCACATTGATGGGGGCCCCAGCGTCTGCCAGGGCCCAACAGCCATTAGCGGGGGCCCTGTGTTGGCAGAGGCTCTGAGCCGACCGAGGGAAGTTTTCGATGAGACCTGAAGAGTGGTCCGGGCGACCCACCGGAACCGACGATCAAAGGCTCGGTTGGGGGTGTAAATGCCGAAGTACTGGCTACAGGTCACAAAATAATCGTGAACCTGAGCTACCAGCCAGCGGTCCCTTTGCGCCTCTCGAGGAAACCCTGGGACAATGCGGGCATCTAAGTCGAACAGACCCCAAAAACCGAATAGCCTGACCCCATGTCCGTCTGAGTCCTTGAGATCCATTTTCCATGCAGGAACGAGGTCGGGGCCCGCAATTTGCCGTGTCAGTAAGGGATCACAGTGCCTAACAGGGATCCTGTGGCGGCAAGTGACTCCGAGTCGAAGCGGTGTTTAAAGGGGCCCGAAGATGGGCCCTTAGGGTCTCTTAAGATCAGAAGCGCGGGCAGGATACACAGGGGAGGAAGTGCCCCCCCCCCCCCCTTAGGCAGGCCGCACAGTTGGCTCGCGGGACGTCCCGCGGGCCCATTTCCTATGCACGAAACAAAGTCAGAGCCAGCGATCTACATTGGTCGGTGCCGCAACATCTGTCAGTTCCCCGCAGCGCCTAACAGTGTCGCTGTGTTGGCAAGGGGCCCCGAGTTGACCAGAGGCAGTATTCGAGGACTCCCGAAGAGCCTGGATGACCCAACAGGTCCGACGATCAAGGGCCAGTTTGGAGGGTCTCAGGGAACGAACGGCTGGTCGGAGTCTTATTCTCTTATTCGGGGACCCCGGCTTACGAGGATGGGCCCTTAAATAACAGTCAGAGGGACCTTTGGGCCAATCAGGGACTCCCTGAGTCGATATGGACTATACATCAGTCAGGCACCACCAGTACCGCACAATCGACCCCATGTCGGTAGGGCCCAGAGAGCACACTTTACCATCAGCTATAAAGCCGGGGCCACTGATTTACACTGGCCGGGGCTCCTGTATCTGTCAGGGGCACACAGCACCTAACAGAGGGTCCAGTGCTGGCAAGGAGCCCAGAAGCGACCAAGGGAAATGTTTCATAAGGCCCGAAGAGAGGCCCGGGCGGCCCATCGGAACCGACGATCAAATGCCCGGTTGGAGATCGCAAGGGCCCGAAGAGACGTAAGGGCCTGGTTGTTGGTCACAAAAAATCGTGGCCCGTCGAGTCGTGATCTCAAAAATATGGTCAAAGGTCCTCTTGCACCGGTTGAGGAATCACTGAAACGATGCCGGGGTCTGAGTCGGTCAGAGACCACGAACATCGAACGGTCGGCTGCATGTCCATACGAGCCCTTGAAGCTTATTTCCCCAAGCACGAATGAGGCCGGAGCCCCAATTTGCAATGTCCGGGGTGCTTGACACAATGAGGGGCTTCTGTGTCGGTCAGGGGCCACAACATTCAACAGAGGTCCTGTGGCGGTAAGTGGCCTTGAGTTGGAAGGGTGTTTGAGGGGGCCTGAAGAGGTGCCGTGATATCAATGTCAGTTGGAAGACTTCTTGCACCGATTGAGACCCATTTGCTCTGGAACCCAGGCCTGGGGGCCCATTTCCCAAGAAAGGACAGACCCGGGTACGCGATTTACATTGGTCGGGGCTCCTTTACTGTTCAGAGGCTCACATTGCTTGAAAGGGGTCAGTGCCAGGGGTGCTGTGCAGGGGTCTGTGTCAATAAGAGGCCTGGAGACGGTCAGCGGAAGATGTGTTCAACAAGGACGGGGACGAACTCCGAATGACAAAATGTCCCTTGTTTTAGTCAAGGCCCTCTGGCAATGAAAGGAAGCATGGTAAGTTATGATGAGTGATCATATTGAGGCAGTGGAAGGGGCTTGTGCCAGTCACGGTTCCCAGTACTGAACGGTAGGCGCTCCAACGCAATTTCAGCATGGGCCCGTTAAACCCAAATGGACCCGATGTGCCACTTATTTGACCACCTGTGGCGAGCAGGGATGCCGTTGCGTCGATGAAAGTTCCTGCGCCAATCCGAGGTCAACTGCGCTGGTCGGAAGGCTTCCCGAGTCAGGAAGCGGTCCGGTGTGATATGATATATCCCTTAGGTCCCTCGGGTTAATGGCCTTCGGGTTTGACAGGGGATACCGCCCCGTTTCAGCAGGATTACAGCCAGAAGACACCCCGCGGTGGGACAGAATGGCCCTTCAGCTCTTTACCGGGAACAGTAATGTGTCCCGTAGTGTTCTTCCCAAGGCGGTCGTTTGCCGGAGCGTCTCATTAGTGTTAAATAGTGTGTCGAAATGAGATAAAAAAAACACGCAGGGTTTGCCTGAGACCGTCCATTGCTTGGCTTGTTCGTTCATTGTTTTTGTCCATCAGTTTGAGTCTGCTCGAAGTAGCGCAGGCATGGGGGGCACAGGGGGCAAGCGCCTCACCCCCTTAGGTTCCGAGGGGCCCGAATGTCCCTCGGAACTTACGATCCAGGGCCGAGGGGCCGGCTGAAGGTGCCATTCAGGGACCCCGGCCCGCAGGGCCGGGCACTGCAATGTCAGCCAGAGGGTCCTGCGCGCCGATCAGGGGCCCACTGAGTCGATAAGGGTCTATATTTCGGTCAAACGCCACCAGTAACGCAAAGTCGACTTCGTGGTGTCATGGGCCTAAGGGCCCATTTCCCCAGCAGGGACAAGGCTGGAGCCAGTGATTTATATTGTTCGGGCCCCACAGCGGCTAACAGGAGCCCTGTGCTGTCAAGGGCCCAGAGTCGGCCAGAGGCAGTGCTGAGGCAGTTCGAGCATGCCCGAAGAGCCTAGAGGGCCCATCGGGTTCGACGATCAAGAGCACGATTAGAGGATCTAAGGGCATAAAGGGCTTGTCGGAGTCTTATTCAGAGGCCTCGGCCCGCGAACACGGCCCTTAAATGGCGGTCAGAGGGCCCTTTGCGCCGATCGGTGACTCCCTGAGCCTATAGAGGCCTATTTGTCGGTCAGGTACCAACAGTACCGCACAGTTGGTACCGTGTTGGTACAAGCCTGAGGGTCTACTTCCCAAATCAGCTACAAAGCTTTGGTGAGTGACTTACACTGGTCGGGGGCCTTGTATCTGTCAGGGGCCCACAGCGCTTAACAGATGGCCCTGTGCTCGCGTGGGCCCCGAGCTGATCAAGAGAAGTGTTCGATGAGACCCGAAGGGGGGCCCGGGTGGCCCACCGGAACCGACCATTAAAGGCTCGGTTGGAGGGCATAAGGGCCCGAAGGACTGGCTGTGGGTCACTGTAAAAGAACGTAGTGTGTATTCGCTTGGACTCGTCCAAAAGCCGACTGGCGCCTGCGAGCGTCGGGTCCCCGCCGCCGCCTCAGCGGCCGACCCTTCACCCGCGGCGAATCGGGAGACCCGCGGTCACGGGACGCCTCCCGACACCCAGTCAGATGCAGAGCTCGGAAGACATCGAGGCTGCCTCCGCGACAGGCCGCCGCCGCCGCCGGGTGCGCGTCTTTGGCCCTAAAAGCACATGGTGGGAACCACAGCCGCGGTCCCATGGTTCCGTCGCCGGCGCGGCGGTTCCCACGAGCTCACAGGCGCCCCCTCCCAAAACGAGACTAACTGGTAGCCGGGGCGCACACCTCGCACAATCACACCACAGTCACATAAAAAATCGCGGCCCGTATGGTCGTGACCTGAAATATCAGCCAGAGATCCTCTTGCACCGTTTGAGGGGTCTCTGTGACAGTGCGGGTGTCTAAGTCGGCCAGAGGCCACGAACACCGAACAGTCGGCTCCAAGTCCGTCTGAGCCCTTGAGATCCGTTTCTCAAGCAGAAACGAGGCCGGGGTCCGCGATTTGAAATGTTCGGGGTCAATGACACAACGAGGGGTTTGTCTGTCGATACAGGGTTTAACAGGGGTCCTGCGGCGGCAAGTGGCCCCGGAGTCGGAGCGGTGCTTAACGGGGCCCGAAAAAGGGCCGAAGGGTCCTTCGAGACCAGATATTAAGGGCCCGATGGGATGGCTGAAGGATCCCAAGGGCTGACTGTAGGTTATATTAAGGACCCCCGCCCATAAGGTTGTGATCTCAAATGTCAGTAAAATGATTGCTTGCACTGCTAGGGACCCCTGACACAGAACCTTTATTCCTTGAGGATACGTTGCTGCGCTGGTTTGTGAACTGTTATTTGTCTGGATTGCCAGACTCGTGAGCTTATCTTCTCTTGCCTATTGTTTATTTTTGTTTTTAATCTTGACTTGGCTCTTGAAAAGCCTGAAAGGATTCCAGGATGTAACCTCAATAAACTGAACTGAACTTTCTATTTCGACGTTCTCCTATTCCGGCCAGAGATCACAAACAGGGAACAGTCAGCTCGGTGCTGTTCTGAACTCGGGGGGGCTATTTTCCCAAGCAGGGGCAAGGCCGGGCCGGTGATTTACATTGGTCGGGGCTCCTGTATCGTTCAATGGCTTACACTGCCTTACAGAGCATTCTGTGCCAGCAAGGGGCCTCGAGTGGCCCTTCGGGATTCGTTAGGTTCCGAGGGACCCGAAGGACCCCCAGAACCTAAGGGAGCTGCGTGCCCCCCGACCTCTCCTTACCTGCGCCAGTGATCATGCCTCAAATCAGTGCACGTCTACTGTATTTCAGTGATGTCACGCGATTTTGCCACGGGATGGTCAAATGACCGGTTCACTTCAAGTGGTATGCACGGTCTTGACTATTGTAAACAATTCTGTGAGAGAGCGGGGAGGGGGAGTCCGTCCGCAGTGCAGAGGTACTGTCTGCGTGTTTTTAGTTAGTTAGGGGATCTAGATTGTGTTGAAGCGAGCACACAGGATGCATGCTTTGATATTTTTGGGGAAGTGCTCCAGGGATGGTGGCGATGGCTGCGTCGGTTCAGGGGTCATAGTGTATGGAAATATTGCACGCCACTTTTGCCTACGTGTGCCTTGCTGTGCGTGCATGCATCTTTTGGGCCGAGTTATTGAAGTGATAGCAATCATAGACGGTTCACGCAGAATGGTGTGTGATGTGCATCAAAGCGAGACATGACAACAACATAAATGGAGTCCAGGGAAAAGCATTTTCCCTTGTTTCATGTAAGTGGACTTGTAGATCGGAAGGAAGAATGTGTTTTTTTTGTCGTTTTTTTTAGGAAAGGAGGGAGAGCAAGGAAATTTATGAAATTTCCTTGCTGGTTGCTGTCATCATTACAGCTTTACAGTCGACATCAAGTGTTTACAATATTTGCTAGCTGGTTGTCATTGTGATTTGGCCAGTCACAGATCTTAGGGGTATATCCACCAGTAAGATTAATCTGAATAAAATGATGAGGTTAATTCCCAAGTAAACATCCAATTTCAAGCTACTCTTACAGGATGATCAAGCTCACAGGCCATCATTGTATGCTTGAAGCATTATGTCTCACATTGTTGAGATGATCAGCTGCATCGGGTCATGAGTTAATGAGTTTTACCTCCCTAAATATAATACAATATTGCGGGAAAACTCATGTCTGGTGCAGCATGACATATTATTGGATATTGTATTAGTTGCCCTGATAAGTTAAGCTTGTAGATCATTGGTTCAGTAATGACCTGTTGCTATCCTAAGTTTCAGGCATTGAGACTTAGCAAGTATCTTGTTAATATCCCTGCAATGTCTGCAGGCTGGCTCACACTCACAGATGGATGCAAATTTCATATTTGTTTTGCAATGCTTGTTTTGCCCTATCACAACACTTTTGGAGAAAATATTTGTAGAGATGCTCTTCTTATCCATTCAGTATTGTTTGAAGATGGCAATGCCTCAAAATTTTGTCTTGTGGGCCCAATTGCAGCTGAAAATCACTCGGTGATTGCATTTTAGTATGTTATGGGATTATGTGATAATGGGAGCATATTTAGTCTATACATGGTGTGATATCAAGTGAAAAAGTGCAAAATTTTCTGGTTTCTGGCATGTGCTAGGATTGAAAACTGCTTTTGGGGATCACAATTTCCTGTCTGCTCCAGGAAGAATGAAATCAGAGCTTGCTTTCAGTGGACCCAGTTCCTTTAACATTACCCAGGCATCCCTGTACATTGCCAGTAGTTTGTGATGCAGAGGGCATTGCCACAGCTAAACCAACCTTGATTGAGATTGATAAGATAAGATTTAAATTTGGCCATTGAAGGATGCTCATCCTGACATTTTGCAGCACTCTCTATGGAGCTCGTGTTTTTCCTTAGTTTTTTCTTCTTCTTCTTTGGCTCGGACCTTTGATTGACTGACTTTCTGGGCTGAGCATCCACACTAAGTAGTGTTTGTTGCGTGATCCCCGACCAGCACCATCCGATCGTGAGATTTCGGCTCAATGGAAGAGCTTTGCGGCGAAAGCGTAAGTTGCCTCAACGCTGGACGCAGTCCGTCCTGCGGGCTGCCGACATCTCATCTCTCGCGAGGCTGAGAGGAGGGTGCGGCCGCTCTGTGTCAGAGGGAACGGCGGTCTTGTGACCGCGTCGCGACGGCTCTGTGTGGCTGGCACGGCCGCTCTGTGTTGGAGGAAACGGCGGCTCTTTGTCGGCGGGTGCGGCTCCCCTGCGTTGGAGGGCGCAGTGGCTCTTTCGGCGGGCAAGCCTCTGTGTCGAAGGGCGTGGCCGCTCTGTGTCGGAGGGCGCGGCCGCTGTGTCGGAGGGCGCGGCCGCTGTGTCGGAGGGCACGGCCGCTGTGTCGGAGGGCACGGCCGATCTTTGTCGGCTGGAACGGCCGCTCTGTGTCGGTGGGGACGGCCGCTCTGTGTTGACGGGCATGGCCGCTCTGTTTCGGCGGGGGCGGCAGCTTTGTGTCGACGGGTGTGGCCGCTCTGTTTCGGAGGGAACGCTACTCTGTGTCGTTGGGTGTGGCCGTTCTGTGTCGGCGGGGACGGCCGCTCTGTGTCGGCCGGTGCTGCCGCTCCTGCTGCACCCGGAACGGGCTCCACCGTCACGGCCCGTCGGCTCCGCTGTCCAGCCCCGCCCGGCAACCCATCGGACCAGCAGCCCGGGTCTACTGATGCGCTCATTCATACCGACTGCGGCATAGAAGACCGAGAGCAGCCGGCAGTTGCGTAACACTCTATTCTGTATTGATTTGAGGTGGAGGTAACCGGGCTGCCGACCTCCAGACGCCAATGCGGGCTTCGAGACCTTTATCCGCGTCGGATGAAGTAGCAGTGATTTTTCACTACCAGCTGTGCGCGGAGACGTTAATGTATGACCACTTGATTTCATCATTCCCGGTGTCTCGTAGGCTACGTTAGCGGATAGCTGAAACTTTCCCGTAATGCTGTCACCGGGTAACACGGCGACGGTTCCTGTCCCAGTGGCGCCCAGTCAGCCCTGTCCCAGTGGCGCCCAGTCAGTCCTGTCCCAGTGGCGCCCAGTCAGTCCTGTCCCATTGGCGCCCAGCCAGTCCTGTCCCAGTGGCGCCCAGCCAGTCCTGTCTCAGTGGCGCCCAGTCCGTCCTGTCTCAGTGGCACCCAGCCAGTCCTGTCCTAGTGGCGCCCAGTCAGTCCTATCCTAATGCCACCAGCTACGGCGTGACTCACGCACTCGGGCCACTTCTCGTTGTTTGCGTGACGTGCAACGAAACGCCGCGCGCCACGTCGGGTGACGTAGAGCCGGCTACGTCACCGCGTGACGTCACCGGTCGGCCTTGGTCGGCGGCGGCGTCGGCTGCAGAGAAGTGCTGGTGGGCGACAGACGAGCAGCGGACCGGATCGCGGGTGTTTTGCTCGGGCGGAAGGCCACCAACAGCGCGCCGCTTCAGGTCTGGGAGCAGCGCGGAGCGCGCGGCACGGGGGCCGAGCGCAGCCAGCGTTGGGCGGGGCTGGAGCGGGGCGCGGCGGCGGGCCGGCCGCCGACTCTATTTCGGGAGCCGCCCGTTCATTCGCCGCCGCCGCCGCCGACCGGAGCGTAGGGCCGCCCCGTGTGCGTGTGTATAGGTGTGTGTGCGTGTGGATAGGTGTGTGTGCGTGTGTGTGCCTGTTCGCGGCGGACGCCCTGGCCCGGGCCGAGCCTCTGGTGGCGGACGGTATCTGGCCTGCAGCGCCACCGCGGCGCGCTGTCACGAGCCGGGCGCTGTTCCGCTGATCGGTGACATCACTGCCCTCCGGGAACGCCGCGGGATGTCCGCTAGGCACTTGCTGGGTTGTGGCTGTGGCCGCGTTGGACGTGTTTACTCGGTGGGCTCGTGATCCTGCAAGGACACCGGCGCCATCATCGTTTTATTTAGTGCCAGCTTGATTCCGATTCATTTATTGGCCCACGTTCAGTGCAGGAGACTCGGCGCAGTCTCGCATTCGCCTGAAAAGACTGCGGTCGGCCTAAACGTGTCGTTAGGCGACCTGCATTGAGGCCATTCTCCCCAAGCTCGGTATACGAAGGGATGGAGCTATGGAACGCTGCAATCCCTTCCGAGGCCCGTTGGAATTCCTTGGGACGATCCGCAGCCACGGGCCCTGACTGCTCGGCGCCGCTGTGGGGAGGGACGGGGGGAGGGGGAGGGCTGCGCCATGCCCGGCTGATGAGGGCGACTGCCGGCCGCCACAAGTGGCCGCTGCTGACGCGCCCGTGGCGTTTAAGCCGGCCCTGGCCCGCACTGCTGTAACAGGTGCGCGCGGGCCGCGCTGTCGGCGGCGGCCCGCGCACAGCTCACGCGTTCTGCATAGCCAGACGCAGTCAAGGTCAGGCGCCGCTGCGAACTGCAGCACTGAGCTCAGCCTGCTGGCGGTACAGCCCGGCGAAATGCGCCGGTTTTCCTGGCAGCGCTGGATCGCTGACAGGCCGGGTGCTGCCCAGCGGGCGTGGTGTACCGGTGGCGGTGGGACGGCCCCACAGCGGATGACCCAGAAAGGGTGGTCTGGTTGTCTGGGGAAGCCGCGTGCTGACCGGGTCAGCCGCTGACGGTGGTTGACACCGTCTGACCGGCGGTCACCAGAATTGGGAGCGCACGCCATGCGCCAGAATCAGCCCCGCTACCTGAGAGCGGGGATTTCCAGAGCTGGCGCCCTCAGGCTAATCGGTGGGATTAGTCACATCACGTGGTCGGTGATCTCCGGTGTTGGAACCCCCAGACCATTCGTCCGGGATCACGCACATCATCTGGTTGGTGACCGTCAGTATCGAGACCGTCGATGAAGCGGGAGGTGGGAGGGAGCAGTAATGGATCAGAGTAGACTGAGAAACACTCTTCGCTCTTCGCAAAACGCACGTGTGCGAGATCGATGTGATCAATGACCAGCGTGTGAAGGGAACGCGGGTGGTGTTCGCTCGGAGTCTGGGCAGTGGGATTGGCCCCTGCCTTTTGACCGGCAGTTTTGTGTGCTGAGCCCGGTACACCAGGAAGGCGGTTGGACAGCTGCTGGAAGCCCCGGGACAGATTTAGGAGGACGCCGGGTGACGTCCGGCCCCTCTCAGCATTGTTCGCCGGTCGGCGGCCTGCTGGCGGGCCAGCTGCTCCCCCCCCCCACCCCTACCCCGCCCTCAACCTCGCCCTGCAGAGCCGGCGGGCCAGCTGCCTCCACCCCCCTCCACCCCGCCCCGCAGAGCGGCGTAATGTTTTCGTTATTGACATGTCATGGGTGTTATGATGGACGATGGATCGCGAAGAATAGATGTCGCCGTGTCATGTTGCTTACGCCGAAGCGCTCCTTCGCTGTCTGTCGCCCGACGGTGCTGTGTAACATGCCCGTGTGGTCCGCTGGTGACGTTGTCGCAGTGTCGCACAGTACAGAAAAAACGCTTGTTATGGGTGACAACGCATTACCAGACCATTGCCGGAATATGGGATAGTGAGCCTCATCTCCGAGTGGTTGTTTTTGCTTGTTTGAGGGGCTTCCCCCCACCTGCTTGTCATGGATGCGCTTACTGCGCGTAGTCAACTCGCGTTGACAGTTTTCAGTTCACGCGCATCTGTGACAAACTTAGATCGGTTCGCACTCCACACGTCCAAATGTGGTCAGTGTGGCAACAACCTTTGGGAAGGTCCGCCAGTTGCCGCTCGTAGACCATCACATTCGTCTTCATCAGGCCCACGTCGAATTGTGCATCGTTTTATGTGTCCACTCTGAAAGCCTGCCCGCCATTAAGTGATCGTTTCAGGGATCATCGTATAAAGTTTCCACAGCACGACATCAGCCGATGGTATTGGCAGGGTGCCGCCGTTATCAGATCAGTTATCACTTATCAGCAATCCTTCCGGTGATGACGCGCGCTCCACCGACTGCCGTCGGCCGTCACCACTAACAGCAGCCGCACGCGGCCGTTGCAGGAGACCAGCCCGCCGCAGGGGAGCCGCCGCCATGTCGAAGCCGACCGCACCGCCGCCTGGCTTCGTGCCGCCGACGGACGCGCCGCCCAACTACGACCAGGCGATGGGCGGCGGCGTGGCGCCTCAGTCGCCGTACCACCCGCAGCCACCCGGTGAGTGGGCTGGCCGGCGCCCGCGGCCCCGGCCCTGGCCCCGGCTCTGGCCCCGGCCCCGGCCGCTTTGCGCGGCAGGACAGGCGCGGACGGATGAGGACGGGAGGGGGGGCTCTTGACGGCATTTGGAGGTCACACTGGGTGAAATACGGGCAGGGAGTGGTGGAACTTCGGAGGGAACGGAAGCGGCAAGGAGGTGACCTGTGAACGCTGGAGGTATTCAGCGTTTTGCCCTCTTGTTAGGTATGGTTCACAGTCAAGTTACCCACCGGATATCGCGCACGCTGCGGGACTTTATATATATATATATATATATATATATATATATATATATATATATCCCCATCCACAGATTACCGCGGCTTCCGTTTTCCTTGCTACCGAGTAATATCTGGCTGCCCTTCTTCCTCTTGAGAAACCTTTAGCTTCCCATCATAGACGGGATACCTATCCATCCCCCAAGTAACTTACGGCCATGTTCGCTTTCAAGATGGTTTGCCGCCTGTACCCTCAGGTAACGTATCACTTCCTATTCTCTCCCGGTAACCTCCGGCTGCTGGTTCCCCTCCCCGGGTAACCTCTGGCTGCTGGTTCCCCTCCCCGGGAAACCTCTGGTTGCTGGTTCCCCTCCCCGAGAAACCTCTGGCTGCTGGTTCCCCTCCTTGGGTAACCTCTGGCTGCTGGGCCCCCTCCCCGGGCAACCTCTGGCTGCCTGTTGCCCTCCCCGGGTAACCTCGGGCTGCCTGTTGCCCTCCCCGGGTAACCTCTGGCTGCCTGTTGCCCTCCCCGGGAAACCTCTGGCTGCTGGTTCCCCTTCCCGAGAAACCTCTGGCTGCTGGTTCCCCTCCTCGGGTAAACTCTGGCTGCTGGGCCCCCTCCCCGGGCAACCTCTGGCTGTCTGTTGCCCTCCCCGGGCAACCTCTGGCTGCCTGTTGCCCTCCCCGGGTAACCTCTGGCTGCCTGTTGCCCTCCCCGGGTAACATCTGGCTGTTGGTTCTCCTCCCCAGTAACCTCTGGCTGCCTGTTGCCCTCCCCGGGTAACCTCTGGCTGCCTGTCACGCCACCCGCCCGGTTCGAGCACTATATGTTGACCTTTGCATCAGCTGCGGCGCGCGCCGATAAGCTTCAGTGTTTACACTAACGCGCAGGGTGCCGCGCCTATCCAATGCACTCGGTCCCGTAACGGCTGCAGCGTGCTCTGCCCATCGGAGCCACGGAGAGGAAACCAGGGAGAGAACGGAAACGGGACCACGGCGCCCTGCCGCTGTCCGGCGGGGCGCGGCACCCTGCCGGGCACCACGGCGCAGCTCCTGAGAGCCGCTGGCCACGGAGCTCTGCCGCTGTCCGGCAGGGCGCGGCACCCTGCCGGGCACCACGGCGCAGCTCCTGAGAGCCGCTGGCCACGGAGCTCTGCCGCTGTCCGGCGGGGCGCGGCACCCTGCCGGGCACCACGGCGCAGCTCCTGAGAGCCGCTGGCCACGGAGCTCTGCCGCTGTCCGGCGGGGCGCGGCACCCTGCCGGGCACCACCGCGCAGCTCCCATTGTCCTGACGGCCACTGTTCGACATTACGCTGAGGATGTTTGCACCAGCACGCTACGTTGAGCGGCGCTTGGTGCACCTCCGGCGGCTTTGTAGGATGCTGCGCCCTGTGGCATGCATGGTCTGGTATACCTGCGCATGCTGACTGCCGCGCCGCCATCCGGACGCCTCCCGGTACTAACGTGACTAACGTGCTGCCCGCGAGCATGTGCGATGGAGGTGACCCTCGCGAGGATGTGATGCTTCTTGCCTGGATGCTCCGTGTACAGTTGATGGCTGACTGTAGCTAACCTGATCGTGAACTGAACTGCGTTACGCCGGCTGCAATGTGCTCTTTGAAAACTGATATTTATAATGTAGAGGCGTATTTTCGTTTCGAGGATTAGGTAGTGACGTGTCTGCTACTTGTGTGCCAGTACGGAACGGAACAGAACGCCTTTTTATTTTTATTTTTGGATCTGCTCCTGTGGTCCCGCTCCAAATTTTGTGTTGTATCGACGCCCTCAGCGGTCTTTGCGTACGCCATTCATATCAAGTGTAACGGGCACAAGAGTGCAGAAATACTAAGAATACTATTGAGATCAGCCTTGCCGCTGCGCGTTACACAGTTGCTCCGTTCACAGCAAAACAAAGAAAATATTGCGGAACAAAATGTCTTAGAAGCCTGCTGCCGGGGCTCAACGTCTGGCGATGAGGTGTGGGTTGGCTGCAGCCCCGCTGTGGCTTTCTGTCGGCCCGGGCGACTTTATCGCGAGTGACGGGCGGTCCAGGCCACGTGCGCTCCTGGCTCGGGCTCTGCGCGCCTGGTGTCTTGAGCACTGCGAACGGCGCTAACCGATGGCTGCACCTGTACCTATCCGGTGCACTCTGTCCTTTCCTGCGTTCCGTAAAGCTTTTTTGGTGTTTGTGAGTTACACGCTTCAGCACGTACTTCACAAGCGGGTATTGTGTTGCACACCACGGATATTTAGGTGCGCAGACCTATGCAAATGTGCTGTCATTTACAGACTGGCGCAAAATTTGTATTATGGGCGCTATATGGCCATTGTAGTCGGCGCGCCTTGGAGCTCAAATAACCGTCACGAAAGCCCCAGAAGCTGTATTCACGGCATGGACGTGATGTGGCGGTTGAAGAATCCAAAGAAAATTGCAGCCGGCCTCGCGCTTGTGTTGAGCTCTGTTCAGTTTGAACAGGAACCAGAGCAACCAAACAAAGACGCGGCGGGTTATGCCATCGGCCCTGACCCTAACATCGCACGTGGTATCGGCTGGCAGCAGCCGTTCCCTCCGGGTGGCGGGTGTTGGGGCGCGCCGCGTGCTCCGGCGCGCGGCCGCGGCTGGCCGGCCGCGCGCCGCTCTCGCCTGCTGGCCGCGCGCCGCCGGCCGCCGCTTGACCTGGCTGCATGCTCCGGCCAGCGGTGTGCGTCGACCCGGCTGACCTCCGGCCGCTGCCTGGCGGCGACACCACCGTCCAGTATGTGGCCCGGCAGCAGCCGTACGGCTTCAGCCCTGTTGAAGGTACCGGAGTGGGCGCGGCCGTCCCAGCAGGCGGCGGCAGCGTCTCCTGGCTTGGTCAGATCGTTTGGTGTTTGCCGGGTTCTTGTGCATACCTTGGTCCGGTGATATTTTAGACGGGCGCCTTACAGTGTGTTCATTGTTTCGGTTTAAGCGCTATAACATTGGTTGGTTCTTTTACAACAACAAAATGTCTCTCCTGGCATAGATTAAACAAAAAATGAAGACGTGAAGGTACGGACCGTTATATCATCATGAACTTTATACACTTCGTCTTAGCCATTTCCAGGCTGGTATTGTTAGACGGGGGCCTAATTTGGTATCCAACCTGAAGTACAGTGAAAACAGGATTGACAGAGGTGAAACCCATCATTTTTCGTCGGGCCTACCAAAGTAGCTGATAAACATTGCTCTGAAAGCATTTCTGATTTGATGTGTACCAACTGGTTTTCTGCTTGGCAGATTTGGTACTACGGGACCAAATCACTATGTGCCGCAAACGTGAATGGACGAATATGTGCATAGTGATGGAACAAAAAGCTTCCTAAATAACCATTTACAGCTATTGGGATAGTCCTAACGATAAACCGTACGATAAACTACGTTCTTGATAATACCCAACGATAAACCACATTCTCGATAACACCTGACGATAAACCACATTCTCTCCTGCCCTTGTAGTCGTGGATTTCAGACAAGTGCCAAATTAGGACTTCGTCCAGTAATGTTAGCTTGAAAAGACCTCTTGTGCGCCCTTAAAGTACAATTTGAAAGCCGGTTACTAAAGCAGATGAGAGCAGCAAAAGGAAGCAGCCGTTAAGCAATGCGAAACTAACCACCTGCTCAAACAGCAACACGTCATCTCGGGCACGCCTTTGTACTTCACCTTCGGCTGCTCTTGCCCAAATGATTCGTTGTCGACCGGTGTAAAACTTCCGTCTAGATTGGGTGTGTTGTAAGGAGGCGCACTTGGCTCACATGGGACTTGGGACGGACTGCAGCGCTCATTAGCATTAGCCGTCCATGGCGCCGACGGAGTCGGAAGAGAGGCGCCCGCATTAAGGCGTACAGCACGCCACGCCATTTCCCGACGTCCTTGGGTGGTAATCGACAGACCATGCCAGTTGCGGCGACATGGAGTAGCCTCCCAGCGCCGTGAGGTAGCTCGAAAATGTCTTGAGACCATGTCTTTAGTGCATGGCGTTTGCGTTGATGGCTTACGTACTCAGCTAACAAAGGCTAACGGCAGCGACTAATCCATGGCCTTCAACGCCAACCGCCGAGCCTCGATCTCTTCCTGCATTGGCCGACTCCTACGGCGAGAAGTTCAACGACCTTAGCTATAAGGCTGCTTGTTTGCGCTGAGCCGCCCACTCACCCTCGCTGACCGCGACACCTGTGCTCCCATTTCACCTGCTTGCCGATGCTGATAGACCCAAACAAGGCGCGTTGATTATGCGGCAGCACGTGCGTACAGTTCTAGTCATCTCCCCGCTGTTTCTGCGCCGTGCCCCCGTCTCCGATAGGACTTAATGGTGTAGAAGCCGCACGGTGTACGCAACTGTAAATGTCGGATGCGGCGGGCGCAGCGGACTTAGAGCGATCGGATGGTCGGCGCCCACACGCCACGTGACCGGTGCGTGACCTGACCGCGTCGCCGTCGCCCCAGTGGCGCCACACCAGGTGCACGTGCCGGTGGTGACGACCGTGGTGCCGCCCGGCCCCAACCCGACGCACATGATCTGCCCGCACTGCCACGCCGAGATCGAGTCTTCTGTGAAGACGTCGCCGTCCACCATGGCCTGGATCTCGGGCGGGCTGATCGCCCTGTTCGGGTACGTCCTCGGCCCGTCCGTGGCGCTGGCAGCTGGGCCGGCTCGGCCGCCGTGTGAGCAGCGAGTGCTGACCGGCCGTTCTGTGACATGGCTTGGGTCGTGGTGAACCGACAAATTATCGATGTTACGGTTTGGAGTGAGGTAGAGCGTTTTTGGCCACGGTTTGGTTTTCTGCGGTATCCCACGCGCCCTAGCCAAGTTTTCTTTTGACTATGCTGATAGTTTCGTGGCTAGTTCGTAGTCTTCGATTTACTTCGGACTCACCGGAAAATGTGCCTGTTTGGAACATGGCTGACACTGGACTTGGCCGTCGCCACTGGATTGCCGTGTTCTTCCTGAGGACTGACGGTGCCTATTGCCGCGCTCAGGTGCTGGATGGGCTGCTGCCTGATCCCCTGCTGCATTGACGACTGCATGGACAAGGAGCACAGCTGCCCCAACTGCAAGGCCTTCTTGGGAAAGTACCGCCGATAATTGTGCCGCCGCCAGCGCCGCCTAGCGGCGGCCGCACGAACTCGGAGCCGCCCACGCCACCGAGAGAGCGAGCGAGCGAGCGAGCGATGGGTGGGGCAGTCTCTTCCCTATGGAGATCGTACGTTGGCGAATATTGATGTGCTACTGTACGTCTTGGTGTGGCTTTCTGGGCCGGCTGCTAAGAATTTGATCACGGTACATAATTCGTCCTCTTTTACGAGCCACCGCCTTTGGGAGATGTAAATTTGGCCCTGGAGGGGTGAAGGGGGACGCCATTTCCGCTGTGCGATCGGAATGGGTATTGACCGAGCGCGCCTTACTCTTGTTACATTCTGTGGTAGATGACCGCTGCAGTAGTCCGTTGGCGTATCACCGTGCCAGAGCAGCCACGTCCCAGTTTCGGCTCGGCGTAGTTTATTCTCGTAGCCATGCATCATGCTGCACACGTACAGGGCGGCGTGACCTCGCGACGCAAATTGGCGCCAACTAAGCGCGCCTTTCCGCGCCAGTTTGGTTTTCTGCTTTGGCGAGGGCGCTGTCTACCGTGTGGTGTCGGTGCGATATCCGTTGATGTCCGCTTGAACACGCCGTTCGCCTCATGTCGGGTCTTCGGTTAGCTCGCAGGCCGGCGTACCATAGCGTGCCGGACGAATGGATGCCCTCAGACGTAGCAGTCCGCCGGTGGGGTGCTTAACCTCTTGGCCAGGGCGAAGGAACGCGTGCGGGCTGGTAACCTTTTGTATTGCCGTCGCTCCTTCTTATGTCCCTTCACCCCCGACGCACACATCTGATGACGCAGTATGCGTGGAGCCATGTCTTCTGTTCGACGGGTAGGCAAGATGATTGTCCATCCGCGCACTTTATGGCAGGTGCCTGTTGGCACCAAGTGCTGATGGCGCGTCCCGGTATTCTTGTAACAGTGCATTTATATTGGCGTGCGGTACACTGCCGCCGTGTCCCAACACCCGAACCGACCACCGCTCTCTTTTTAACGTGCATGTAAGCGAGGGTGGGTCTGATTTAGCAGGGCTTGGTAACATTTTCACGTTGCTGACTTTGTAATGAATCCTGGACGAGTCCGCCGACCGGGCAACGCTTGCCAGCTAAATAAACTGAGCGAGGCCTTCGGTCCGTGTTTGACGTCTACTTGAGCGGATCGGTGAACCGGCGGCGTGTGGGCAGCCCGCCGCGGTACCCGGAGACCCGCTGGACGGCCCGCCGCTGGGCCGCCCGCCGCTGGACCCGGGGATGTGCTGGACGGCCCGCCGCTGGACCCGGGGACTCGCTGGACGGCCCGCCGCTGGACCTGGGGATCCGCTCGGCCGCCCGCCGCTGGACCCGGGGATGTGCTGGACGGCCCGCCGCTGGACCCGGGGACCCGCTGGACGGCCCCCGAAACGCATTGGCCCGCGCTCACCTGACCCCGCCACCTACCTGGAGATGGACTTGCCAGGTGCAAGCGGGTCAGTTTTGCTTCAACGCGCACCTCATCAAGCGTCACATCAAGCACCCCATCGTCAAGCGTGATGGGCGCCATATGGCCAACGTAGTCGGTGCGCCCTAAAGCCCAAATCATCATCATTATCAGTCAAGCATGTCTCATTATCGTCCACCACTGAGCCCAGGCGTCATTTCTACGAATCATCCTCCAGTCATACCCCCATGCCTACATATCACCCCGCCGTCTCTCTGCCGGAGCCATACACGCACGTGCTACAAAAGTTATATTCGGCGGCAGCGCCGGTCAGGTACAGTGGATAGTGAGGTAGCGGCCGGCGGGGCGCGCACACTAGGGTCGGAGCAGGCCGCTAGGCGGGCGCCTCCGCCGGCGGCGACTCCTCGGCAGGCTGCCGCGCCGGCTCCTTCTTCTCACGCGGCTTCCGCTTGACGGCGAAGCTCAGCGAGTCCTTGTTGAACTGGAGCGGGATCGGACCCAGGTCGCCGCTGAAGCGGTTCTTCAGAACCTGCGGCAGGCGGGGGTGACGTCGCCTCCTCGAAGTGCGGCCTCCGTGGGCTGTGCTCCGGTCCGACGACGGCTGACGGGGCTACAGTGACGCTCTGCACCGCCAGTCAAATGGCATATCTTTGCAGACTACGCCACCCGCTGCTAGTGGCAACACGTTCGGTTTGCGAAGTCATGCACTGCGGTATGTTATTAACCACGTTCGCATTCGGCGCTTCTTACCAACGGCAGCTACACTCCTGTCACATGGCCGCTAACAGTTTATATCCTGTCAAATGACTTCCAGCTGCCACGCACCTGTAATCTGCTCACCAGCCGCTCCACTCTGAAGACACAGCTTCCAACACCCGCGTGCATCGGAACTATGCGATCGCGTGCCATACAATTCCAGGCCTCAGTCCACCTGTACGCCTTGTTAGCGTCATGCGTGCCGTGCGCGTCGGTGTCAACCGCCCGGCGCGCCCGCGCCGCACCTGTATATACTTCCTTTGCGTGTCAGCGGCGCGCAGCACTTGCAGGATGAGCACGTTGTCGGCCTCCTGGGTGGCGCGAGCGCCGCCGAACACCGAGGCCAGCCCCAGCTCGTCGTCATCCCTCTCCTGACGGGCGGACGGCAGGCGCGCGTGCGTTACCACCGACCGCCGGCGTCCGTCGCCCGGCGGCGGGGTCGGCGTGGTCATGGTGTGCAGAGTTTTCTGTCGTCCGCCTGGTACCCAAACACACACGCCCCGGAAGGAAGGGAGCACCGTACTCAGAGCCCTGACATACAGCTGATGAGACATGCCTTACAAGTAGGAGGTGATAACAATATTCGGAATGGAGATTACAACGATGGGTTCAGATCACACATCGCAGCCTTACTCCGGAACCATGTACATGTTGCGAGGCACTTACAGTGCGGCCTAACATTTTTACATTAATCACGCTCATCCGTGGATGACCTCGTACAAAAGTCGGCTCCCACCCGAGTGACAGACCCCTGGCGCCGGTCTGTCCGCTGGCGGTCGACAAACCTTTCTGGGGTGTATGACGAGCGTGACGTGGCAGTTTTTCATGGTGGCAAAGCGGCGGAAGCGGCTGATGACCGAATCCTGCTCGAAGAAGCGGTCCGTGCCCCGCTCTCCGGGGCCCATCATGAACTGCAGGTTGTCCAGCACCACGTGGCCGATGTCGTGCACGTACGCCGCATGCGCCATCGCCTGACGGCGACCAGGCGGGTTGGTGACGGCGGCCGGGCGGGGTGATGAGAGCAGGGTGGAGTGGATAACGTCGGACGGGTGGGGTGGTGCCAGCGGCTGAGTGAGGTGATGACAACAGCCGGGTGGGGTAATGGCGCCGGCCGAGTGGGTTGATGACGCCGGCCGGGTGGGATGATGACGCCGGCCGGGCAGGGTGGTGAGGGCGGTCCCGCCGCGCATCAGGGGCGGAGCGGTCTATCCGGGATCTGTCGCCGATCGGGCCGCGGGATAGCGCACCGCACATGGATGCAGTTGCGGGTCATGGTGACCTGCGCAGGGGATAGTCAGCGCCACACCGGCACCTAATGACGGCTGAGTCACGCTCAATACTGGGTAGCGGCGTACGTAAGACGATAGTGTTGCGTTGCCGACACGTTAAAAGCAGCCTGTTCAGTTTCATCCCACCCTCATCCCAGAAATCAGCATGAAAATGTCGGTGCTAAGTGACCTAAGCTCTTGAAGGCGTCGCTACTTCCGAATAACACGAACATTTCAAGTAGCGCAGCCCCGGCCAGTACCCTCTTAACGTCACCCCTGCCGATAGCGAGTGCCCTGCTCGCCACCGGGCGGCGGCAGGGAGGGGACGCGGCCGGCCGGCCGGCCCGCCCTGCGCTCCGCCGCACCGTCCTAGCTCTTGACTCACGTCCAATCCGGTTGGTGACCACGCTCTGCTGGACCAGTGAAACGTCATGAAACCACATGGGGAGCTTCTCGAACTCGTCAGCCGCCCTGAAACAGTAGACCACGCCCGTTCGGCTGACGTCTGCCAGCTCCGGGGCCTGCAGCACGGAGTCGACGCCACTCGTGCACGCACGTACGTACGCACGCACTAGGTAGCAGGGCTCGCTGGGCTACCCTAAGATAGCTATTAAGTTGCGCGTCCTGCGAAACTAGAGACTGTCTAGGTTCGATCCCCCACGGCGTCCGTCCTTTCCGCCAGGGTCGACGGGCGACGGACTGAGGCGCTAATGTGACGTGAAACGTCATGAACACTGGGGAGCTTCTCGAGTCAGGCCGCTGAAACGAGACACGCGCGCAACTCGGGCCGAGCACGAGTCGACGCACCGCCGCACGTACTACTGAGAGCACCGTGGCTACCTAAGTAGCTATTAAGTGCGCGTCTGCGAACTAGAGACGCTAGTCGATCCCCAGCGTCCGTCTTCAGCCAGGGCGACGCACGTTAGCCTCACCCACTGAAAGGTCTAAGCGCCATCGCGCACACACACAGCACGAGGAAGAGAGAAGCCAGTAGCTAACGTAAGCTGACCACGACACCTCCCATATTCCCCCCTACCCCACGAAAGCTCGTCCCAGCTCGCTGCGCGCAGACAGCCAGTCACCGACCTGTTCGAACTTGTCCAGGTTCTTGTCGAGCGCACAGTTGGCCATCTGCTGTAACATCACCTTGGCCAGCCGGACGTTGTTGATCTCGAAGCTGCCCCACAGGGTGTTCACCTGCCGGGACGGGCGACGCGTTGGTGCCAGTCGTGGAGGTTAAGGAACAGTGAAACTAGAGATTTATGGGATAATAACAGCCGCCGGGTTGAGCTGCGGGCCAAGCGCTGCTGACCCTCACAGAGCACCAACATGGGATACGGGATACTGATCTATGTCCTGACGTGGGATACTAGGGCGTGGAAGGACAAGTGGAGCACGAGCCGACCCCTGACACCCCGACCGCGAAATTCGGCTGATAGGGGACATTACATCAGGCTACATGTCAATCAAGCTGATGACGACAGACACTGAAATCCCCACTTGACACCAAAAGCGAAAGCACGAAAACGCCTTCACGTTGCAGACGGGGCCCACATCATGCCTGCAGCGTGCGACGCACCCCCTGCATGGAGAGGTCCAGCGAGTACTCGCTGACGAAAGTGGTCTTGCCGGCGCCGGTCGGGCCGGACAGGATGGTGAGCTCGCCGCGCCGGTGGCCGCGCAGCAGGCGGTTCAGGCCCGGGAACCGCTTCCACTGCACGCCAGCCACCTGGCGACAACCGGATCAACTGCAGGTTCACTGCGTCGGCGAACGGAGGCGGGTCGGACGCGTCGCGACAGCAGGCAGGAGAGCGGTCTGGACACAGACGGCAGGGAACTGCTCGCAGGATTCCGAGCCTGGGTGCGGGCGACCCAATCTCCTCTGCATACGGACTCTGCCCGCAAGAGCGGGTATCAAAACGGGTACATGTATCTGTCCAGGTCCCGCCTTCAAAGATCTGCGGGAGTTCCAGTTGGCATACGACACCACGTGAAGTTATAGCTGGTGAACCCAGGCTGTAATTGTCGGTGATACTTAGCTTGGTGCCCGACACCACAGGGGCAGCTGCACCTTCACGAACGACACGCGCAGCCATCGCATAATAGCACAGTCGTGGTCAGGGCGGTGCCTATACACCAGTTAAACCCATCTGAGCTTGAGGATGTCATGGGCGATCATAACCCACCTATCTGACCACGAACAAAGCGAGTGACCAGATCGCAACAGCCGCTGCGATACAGCGATTAATCTGCTCCCCGCTACTCAAGCTGCCATGCATTAATGGAACCTCCCACAGGAGCAGCGCTGGTGTGCATTCGTCGCACGGCGGCCTCGCCGGGCCGCACCTGCGTGGCGTTGGAGATCTCCTCGAACACGTCCTGCCGCAGCGCCGAGAACGTGGTGATGGCGTTGTGGTAGAGGGGCGCGGCGGCTTCGAGGATGCGCTGCAGCGACGCACCGGCACGCATCGCCTCTAGCGGAGAGCCGTGCTCCGCGGACGGCCTGCGCGCCGATGGCCGGTTAGACGCGTCACGAGGAGGCAGCAGCAGCAGCACAGTACGCGCCAACTCTGCTCGGATCAACAGATGTGACCTACACAGCCTCTGTTTCGCGTTTTGTTTTGATCTAGCGGCTTCTGGCATATTTTGCCTTATAATTTGCAGAGTATTGTCAAAGAAATTTAAACACATACAGCGTAAAACGGCCGTGCCGTGTTGTCGCACGCCAGCCCGCAACTAGTTCAGCTGACAGCGACAGCGCGTCCGCCGTGTTCTCTTCAGTTGAAGGCCGTCAGGCAGGCCTCGGGGTGACAGCCCACCTAACAGTGAAGCAGCGCTTCTCGGAGAGCTTGCGGGCGAAGCAGCGTACGGCATTCCAGCTGACCACGTCGCCGGGAAACCAGAACGTCAGCTTGGTGAAGCGCTCCAGCAACGGCAGCAGCTCGGTCGGCAAGCTGCTGGTGCCTGTCAGCGGAGGGCGGACCTCAGAGTGGGGAGGCAGGGCTCACTTCAGAGCGTAACGCTAGGGGGGGGGGGGGGAGCGGGAGGACGGAACACTCGCATCGGTTATAGACGGACACCAGGCGGCCTTTAAGACGTCTGGAGGGCAGCGAGCACGAGACAGTCCTTGTGTGGGAGGGCGGCCCTCCACACAAGAGGGGACGCCGTCGTGCAGACAAATGAGTACCTAGGCACTTCCGGGACCTAACGCATCAAACGTTACATACGGTATTCAATGTTACCAAATTCAACACATGAGCAGATCATTCAAAATGCCAAAAACGACCTTTGTACACTCTAATCCCATAACAAAATTGGTGCAGCCTTACCTACGGAGTCAAACACGTGAAACCCATAAACACACATGACGAATAAGCAAATTTGTGAGAAAAATCGGGAGGTACACCTCCAGTCTCGCTACTTCCCGCTCAGCGTCTCTCCCATGTCCATCATACGCCAATCCCCGTATACTGCAACGAGCTCCGGCGGCGGCCCGTCGCCGTCGAGCCGAGCCAATGCACTCACCGTGCGGCAGGGCCAGCACGGGCCCGCGCGAGCGCTCACTGAGCGCCAGTGCGTCGCACAGCCGGGAGGTGAGTAGGGCGTGGTCGCGGCCGCGCACGCTGGCCCAGCCGGCCGGCAGGTGAGCTGACGGCGGCACAGTGCGCTCGGCGCCGGCCGGCGTCAGCAGGCGCAGACCGGCCAGCGCGCCGTCCGGCCGGCGCAGCGGCACCAGCAGGCCGCCGTCGTCGCCCAGCCGCGCCTCGAACCGGCGCAGCGTGTCGGCGCCGATGCCCTGCGGCGCGCGGCGCGGGCGGCGGTGAACGGGGGAGGCGGTCGGGACGGGGTGGACGACCGCTGGGGACGTCTGCCACGGCGTGACACGGCCGACACCGGTGACGGATGTTCCTTGCGCACGGATAAACCCGGCGCTGCAGGTGGTGCCAGCGCAGTGGCCGAGGGCGAACGGCTCTCGCTACGACGCCGGCAGGGCAGATGAGAGCTGTACGGACTTCAAGCACACACACACACCGCAAACTCAACTGTCTACAATCTGACCAGGAGCATACAGCTGGCGTGCCATGGCTGTGGCTGGTATTATTTCAGATCATGGTTGCCGCGGGCGCTCGCGCCATCCAGGCCGCCTGACTCGTGCACCACGCACCTGCAGATTGAGCCGCTCCAGGGCAGCCTGCAGGGTGTCGGCGTCGGCCGCCTCCACGGGCTGAGCGGCCTCCCAGAGCCGAGTGACGGAAGGCGGCGGTGCGGCCGGCGGCGGCGGCGGCGGCAGGCGCACCCGCTTGCCCTTGGGCGAGTACAGCATGCTGAGCTGGTCCTCCAGCTGAGACCAGGTGCCACCGCGGCCGCACTGATGGCACATGAAGGAGCCTGCACATCGGTCAGTCATGCCTCCACCCAGACAGCTAGACATTCAGGAAAGCTGGCCAAAATCAGGGCAATGTACAGACCAGTGCACAGCTAAAAAGACAGTACGTGTTGCTTGAAATGTGTCTAACCTTCGCATACCACTGGCGCCGGTTTTTGGTGTGCTACGTGTGCAATGAAATGCATCCATGAAAGACGTAACACAGATGAACTTGTCGCATGCACAACACAAGACATTCCCACGAGTGGGTGGCGAACTTTTTTTGCAGTCAAACGGCACCGAGAGCACCCGTTTAGGTGAAGTTCCCAAAAACATTGCTGCAGAAGCATTCCTGGGAAAACCAGCCACTATATCATGAGTAAAGCACACCGCTTGCCCATACACATGCAGCCCGCCACACAGGTAGCTGGTGTGGCAAATGACCCGCAAGATCACATGGTGATACAGGCTAAAGCCAATTGAGACCTGCTGTCTGATTCACATAGAAACTTTATCCGTCACTAAGTGCTCCTATCACTGCTGGTTTTCCTACGTGATTCAGCGTTGAAAATCATTGGCACCCGCGCACCTCTAAGCCCTCCGGACGGCACAGAGCTCAGACGACACCGTATCAGAGAGGACGGAGCGAGCCACATGCCATGGTCCCGATGGGCCCGCTGGGAGCCCACCGGGATCGCAGAGAATTGTACGTCACCAGTTCAGGATTTGAGAGCCCCACGTCGTCCAAACTCCGAGGCCCGAGCCCGAGCCCGACAAGTTACTGGGCTCGACGAGCCGACCAGCTACGACTAGCGGCGCAGCGTAAGGTGATGACTCATGCTGGCTTACAAGGTGATGCTACACGGCGAGCTTGATGTGCTGAAACCCGTTTGTGTTCAACCGCGACGCGCGTGAGCGTCCCACTTGGCAGGCTAGGCATCTACAACTCCCTAGGCCGAGATCCGAGGTCGATAGGAGACATTTCGGGTATCACACGCCAGCATTGTATAATGCACTGCCAGCCGACATCACACATCGGACACGGCAACGCCTCATATGCGCGGCGAGCGCGCACCTGTCGAGCGATATTGCTGTTGGTAGCCGGTACATGGGTCTCTGACTGTGTTTTGTTTATTGCATGCATGTTTTTATCCCCTGTTCTCTTGACGCGGGACTGTAATGTCCATGCTCCAGAGTGTACAGCCTAATGATGCAATGCATACATGCATACGCACATACAGCGTGACGACAAGCAACGCGAGAAGCGCAGCCACGGCGGTAGAAACGACATACCGCCGAGCATCTCGGGCGACAAAAATGGAGGGTCCGGTCTGGAGGACACAAGTGGAGGGTCGGTAACAGCGGACAGAGGACAGCGGCCGGAGCCGAGACCGCCGGCTCGCCCTCAGTAGCATAAAGGGGCAATGACTGCTGGCCTGCCCTCAGCGAGACAGAGCTCACCGGCTGGCACGGTGAGGACTGCCACTTGCCCTCAGCAGGACGGAGCTCTCCAGCTGACCAAGGCAGGGCGAGGACTGCTGGCATGCCCTCAGCAACATGGAGCTGGCGAGCTAGCAGGGCAAGGACTACCACCTGCCCTCAGCAGGGCAGAGCTCACCAGTCAGCTATGATGGCCTGCTACTCCCATCAGCATGACATAGCCTGCAGAGACCACTATATCCAACTGGACCGTGCCACGTCAGTAACAACCCCATTGAATTTCATAAAAAATGCAGGTGATAGCTGTCTATCCATTTCATGCATGTGAAAGACATTACAGATAGCACTGATGCCAACTTAAGATATCTCACCTGTTATCATGTTCACATACATCTTTTCACTATCTGACTTTCTGCCAGCTTTCTTGTGTTTGCAAAATATACAGTCCATGATGAAGCAAGTAAAGCCAAGCTCAAATGATATGTTGTTGGCTTTCAACACATTTCGTATCTTTGCCTCATCAACACTAACTTGCAACTGTTGATGTATCACTTGAGCTTGGACACTGGATGTCAGGTGAAACTGTCTTTGAGAATGAACCATTCCACCTAACAACCAGACTTGCTTGAGGAGCTTGGCTAAGGGGATAATGTTTGGATGTGCAGAGTGCGAGTACTGCTTGTGGAATCTGTTGTCTCCTGCAATACAAGCCCTGGGGCCGTATCCTTTTCGTACAAACATCTGGTAGCTTGTAGGATGTGCATGATGCAACTGGCACCTGCATGCTGCTATGAGATTTCTCATACTCCTGAAACAAGTAAAAAATAAATCCAAAGAACCCTTATGACCATAATCAGCACAGAGACTTGCACACCAATGTGGTAATAGGTGCCAGTGTAACACAAAATCATAGAGGAAGTTTAAATATTCTCTAAAACACTTCTTGACAGCCCCCTCCTGTGACAACCCATGACACCTGATCTAGACACTACCAAAAAATGCAGCAGCATTTTGACGGTAAAAATCGCTATAACAGGCATACTGTGTGCAATAAACAACACTGCATGTTTCTGAATCACCAATATGGTTATCTGCAGCACACACGCCAGACGCTCCAAAGCATCCAGGTCATCAGAAAAGCACGTGTGGTCTTGAGCCCGCGTCAAGCGCACACCTTGAATCAATTTCGGCGCCATTGAGACGGCAGTCTTTGTTTACGTTAGTTTACTAGAGTATCTTGAGGGTAGGGAGCAAAGGAAAAAAAAACTTGTGGCCAATCAGAAGGCGCAATGCACAACGGCATTCAAATAGTTCGTGCTTTCGTTTCCGATGACGTAATAATTATTCAATTAAGTTTTATTCGGTGAGTAGATGTATTTATGCAAATCAGTTCCTAAAAACTGTAAAAATTAAAACAAAAATATTTTAAAAGTCCCAATAGCTATCTACAAATGTTTAATTACATGGGACAAATAAATAGCACATCCGATCTACACAGGCCCTTCGTTTTCGACCGAAATTTGAAATCTGTCGACGTTGAGAGACGCGGCTTTGGCAATTTGTTTGCGAGTACGGTGGGGGTGTTTTGTGCAAGTTCTGGGTAGACAAAGGTGCCGAGACTAGAAATAGATAGTGGTATATAAAATCGTATCCGTCTTCGAACCGCCACGTATTTGTCTGGCTCACTCACCTTTGCTCTGAGGTAGGTAATAGTTGATTAACTGGATGTGCATCTGCTGGCTGGGCAACATCCTTTTGGAAATAATTTTTTGAATTTACTTGTAAATCTAGAACTATTAATCGTATTCTTCATTTTCAGCTTGGTCTTTCATTGTACACTGAAGTTTTTAATTGTGAGCCAGCACATGCTCACAAACTAGCATAGTCAACATCGCCAGAGTGGGAAACATCTTCAAACTGCCACCAGGCCCTAACCTGATCAAAAATTTCACTTGATGTGCTACCCTTTACACTCAACTCACACACAGTAATGATAGAAATGCTCCTGGAATCCATTATCAACATGATGAGGTGCCTTTAACATTCATTTGGGTCGCTGGTTGAGTGCAGCATACCAAGATGCTGTGTTGGTGCAAAATGACCTTAATAGTCAGTATGTCTTAAGAACCCAACCATCACCAGAAGGTGGGAAGTCAAGTTTGCCCCTTGAGATTTAAAGCTAAGAGAGCTGCAGACACCAAATTCACAGGGTAGATATATATGTGTGGGCATTGTATGTGAACCCACTTTTGTCAAGTTGTCAGGTCCCTAGGTTATGATCTTCAGGCAAAATATGCCTACTCAGTGTCAAGCTCCAGATTAGCATCCTCAGACCTCAGACCTCCAGAATGCCAAAAACTACTTAATAAAGCAAGTTAGCCATTGGAAGAAGCAGTTGGTTTTTATCTTGGTCAGACCTCCACAATTGACCCCAAGGTGAATTAAATAAGTAATATTTCAAACCTCAGTTCTAAAATTGTGTGAAAAAAACATTTTAAAATGTATGGTCTGCATGATGACTTTCATGACATGATGTATGCCAAAAAGACAGCTATTCAACTGCCTACAGCTCATCTAGATTTGATAGCAATACTGCGCCATTCAGGAGTTAGCATTGAAAAGCTTGAGCGGTCAAATTAACCCCCACCTGAGCATGCTTTAAGACTTTGTAATATTTCAAGAGTTTTTTATGGTGTCTTTCAAGCCAGGCTAGCAAACATGGAGGCATGGTTGTTGTCATATAATTTGAGTTTTTAAAAAATTAAGTACTGTTTGATTGGCTCAATCCTACACATGCATTACATTACTGCCTATATCATGTTCCCACCTGTCACTCAGTTGTGTGGCTAATGGCTTCACAGTCAAATCACATTAAAGTCCTATGAAGCAACTAACCCAACTATCACTCAGTCATGAAGTGTGCATTGAACATGTCCTGTTCCAAAGAATGGTGCATTTTGGTATATGGACCATCAATAAGCTACAAAGCACAACTTGCAGGCATCTTACATAACACAGATGTAATTGCAAATCCTCATTTGTCATATTCGGATGCTCACATGTCATCCAAGTCCAAATTTTCAACGTTGTTTGGCGCTTAAGATACTGAATAGTCTTTCCATTGTTTTACCTTGGAAAGCACAGTGCAGTTTTTGATGTAGTTCATCTTAAACTTTTCCTGACTGCTGATGTTTTTCTTTTCTTTATCAGTGTAATGCATTCTGTTTCATTAGTGCTCCAAAAGTGCTTTCACTTCCCTGACAAAAGCATGGCATGTTTATAATCACCAGCTTTCTCCACAAATGTCAGTTTTCTAACATTTCTAGCCACACTGAAATCTTAGCTCAACAGAACTCTGACAGCTTTGGCATTTCAGCTGGGTGAAATTGTGTTTCTGTGCTTTCTGGTTTCTACTGGTTAAGTTTGGCACAAAATGGTGCAGACTCTAAAAGCTGTGATCTTGTCATTTTATAAACATGTTTGCCATCTTGTTGCCAAAGTTCCCTAATCAGTGAAAAGGCCAGCACCAGAACACTGGTAAACAGGATGATTCAAATGTGTGGTATACCTGTCAGAATTGATGTAAATGGTATGGTGTATGGTGTGTGGTATACCTGCTACAAATGATGCAAGGTATCCATTAGTGTGCATCCATTGCACCTGCAACAGACATAAAGTTTGTGGCAGTTTTTGCCACCAGTATTTTCTGCCAGCCATTTTTAACTAACAACTGGCTGACAGAACCTGTTTCAGCTGGTTGCTGCCAACCCAGACCTCCGCTCTCTTTCGTGGCATATTTTTTCAGTGGTTCACAATTGCTCACCACACCAATCCAGACGCTGCCACCACGATGAGTCGCCTTCCGACGCCCTCCTCGCGGCTGCCGGTCGCCGGCAACTCCAGACTGCCGGCGGTGGGCGCGGCGCGAGCGACCCCCAGGGTGGCCACGTCGAGCGCCGTCGGCAAGCGGCAGGCGACACAGCTGAGCATGGCGTCCAGCAAGAGGAGTCGCATGGACACCTCCAACAGTGAGTGCTTGTGGTCATGGATGAGGAGAAGAGGGTATACCCTAAGGGCTGTGCTTCGCCTGGGTCAGGTGCCTTTGCTGTTGATGTGCTATTTGGTTTGACCACGACGTCTGATAAACGGCGGCCCTCGTGCCTAGAGTTGCCTTAATCTAGATAGCACGGCAGCACCCGCTTGTTCTTTCCTGTCGGGTTTCGAACTTTGTAAGCGGTATAGACGGCAGTGCCTCTGGAGGCGCCCCCCAGCATGCAGTCCGACCCCAGTGACGGTGGCCCCTCGGCGCTGCAGGCTCGGACGGCTCGGCGTCGGGTCGGCCACCGCGTGCCGGCAGCATGCGACCGCCGGCCAACCCCGGCCTGCTCCGCTCCAAGTCCGTGGCCAGCCTGAACACGCCGGCCGGCCGGCCCGCTGGCGCCAGACCAGGTCAGCGGTCGCCGGCGGGCCACTGCGCCACTTGACGACGGCGGAGCGGGGGTGACGTCACGTGCCGTGCCGCGCCGTCGTCGGATTGATTGCTGGGCCATTCGTCAGGCGATCATTCAGATGATCCCGAGCTCTTTGCGCTCGTCACCTCTAGTCATTAGTCAGATGATCCCGGGCTCGAAGAGATGGTCACCTCTAGTTATTAGTTAGATGATCCCTGTCTCCATGCGCTCGTCACCTCTAGTCATTAGTCAGATATCCCAGGCTCTAAGAGATGGTCACCTCTAGTTATTAGATGATCCCGGGCTCTATGCGCTCATCACCTCTAGTCATTAGTCAGATATTCCAGGCTCTAAGATATCTTCACCTCTAGTTATTAGTTGGATGATCCCGGGCTCTATGCGCTCGTCACCTCTAGTCATTAGTTGGATATCCCAGGCTCTAAGCGCTTATCACATCTGGCCACTAGTCAAATGATCCCGGGCTCTAATCTCTCATCACTTCTAGCCATCAGTCCAGTGATCCCGGGCTTTATGCGCTTGTCACCTCTAGCCACCAGTCCGATGATCCCGGGCTCTAAGCGCTCGTCACCTCCAGCCATCAGTCATGTTGCCGCCTTCCGGGATCATCTCGCGACGCCTGCAGCTCAGATAGTGGTTGCCGTCCCGGTATCTAACGCTCACTGTAGCGGATGGCGGCGAACCGTCAGTGTTGTAGCCCAGCTCGGACCCACCACCCGACACATAGTCAGGGGCGAACGCTCCGCCAACTGGTCTGCCCGCACGGCCTGTCCTCTGGACGAGGAGATGTCCGCGGCACTGCTCGGTTGTCCTGGTCGCGCCGCGTTACCCCCGTGATCCTAGCCTCATGTCATTTTACCCGTCATATGTGAATTGCCTCATACCTGCCGAGATTTCCCAATGCTCCCGATGCCAGGTGTAGCCCGGCTCCGACCGTGGGCTCCCCCAGAGCCGATCCTTAACTTTGGCAGGACGTACCGCTCATCATGTGTGACCTTTGCCAGGAACCCGAGGCGCCCCGATGAGGGATGTGACCTCCAAAGTGGTGTCCCAGGGCAACAGGATGACAGGTGAGCCGTGAGAGACCGGAGACCACGAGGCCGTGAGGCCAGAGGCAATAAGAGACCACAGATCCTGAGGCCAGTGACCATGGGACCATGCACATGTATGTCTGCCTACGTCAGGTTCCGCGCGATCAGCCAGCAGCTCCGTTGGTGATTCACAGCAGCAGCCGGGCTGACGCCGTGTATCAGCCAGCCTGTGTCAGTGAAGGCATCACGTACTGCTCCACGCCGCTCCGTATCTGGTCATCCTGATGTCACAGGGCATTGGTAGCACCTGGGGCGTGGTGCGTGTGACGTGGTGCGTGCTGCGGTCGCGGGATCTGTGCGCCGTCCGCGCTGTATGGGGATGGTGCGCTGCCCCTGCTGATGGACTCGCCGTCCGTCCAGGTGACACCGCAGGCCCCAAGCCGGCCGCCAAGCGACAGCCGTGGGATCTGAAGGGTCGCTTGCAGGACATGGAGCAGAACCTGAACATGAAGAACAGCCAGCATGAGGAGCTGATGCAGCAGCTGCTGCTCACTCAGGAGCGCGTCTCCAAGTGAGATAAGCTAACATCTGTCGCGGTTGTCACAGGTGTCACGGTTGTCATGGGTGTCACGGCGTCGCGGTTGTCGCGGTGGTTTCGGCGGTTTCGGCGGTTTTGGCCACCAATATCTCCAGCTTGAGCATCATCTGTCTCTCCTTTGATCATAGCACTTTGTAACTGTGCTTGTCTGCAGATGTGACGCCCTCGTCACCTGCGAGATAATGTCATGATCAATGCGAGGTGCGTGTCCTAAGTTTGATGCTCCTTTTTCGTTACATGCTCTCCGTAATTGAAATGTGAGGCGACTTAGCCGAGACCGTGTCCGAAAGACAGGCAGGCAGCTGATGAGACGCGCGTTTGTGACGTGAAAGCTAACGCTCTCGGACGGCTAACAAACATCAGCGATGACGCCCCGCTCGCCGCCGCCGTTGCCGTCACCGTCCTGTCCCTTCCCCGCCCCAGGATGGAGACCGAGAAGCAGCAGCTGGAGGTGGGCGTCAAGGAGAAGGAGATCCGCACGGTGGAGATCCAGTCGGAGGTGGATCGCGTGCAGCAGCTGCTGCGCCGACGCGAGGACGAGATGGACGAGGAGCGCCGCCGGCTGAGCCGACAGCTGGCCGACCTCGAGGCGCAGCAGCAGACGACAGAGGCGGCGCGTGCCGCTCTCGAGCGCCAGCTGCGGGCGCTCGAGGCCGAGCTGCGTGCCAAGACGGACGAGGCCGCCGCGCTGATGGTAGGCATCCCCCCCCCCTCGTGTGAGGCGGCCGAGAGCGTGCTGGACGGTCCGGCGTGCGGCACACATGGCTCGCGTGTCATGAGCTGAGGCTAGAGTCGACTCACGTTGGGAAAGATCCGGCCATACGCGAGCAAACATTACCCACTGCTCTGCGACTCAGTGAGTATGCACGTTACAGTCATGTCGAATCGTCGGCGTGCATGGGGCGTGTTCACTCGCACCTGGGAGCTCTGTTGTTTCTCACTTCCGCTATGGCCGCCGGCCGTCGGCGCCCCGTCCGCCCCCCCCCCCCCCCCCCCCCCGTCCCCGACGGTGCGTGCGTAATGCGAGCCCTGCCGTGCCGCCGCAGACGTCGGTGGGCCAGCTGACGGCCGCGCAGGCCACGGTGCAGGCGCAGCTGACGGCCGCCCAGCTGACCGTGCAGCAGCTGACGGCGGCGCGCGACCAGCTGAGCGAGACGCTGCAGCAGCGGGACGCCACCGTGGCCGAGCTGGAGGCCAAGATCCGCTCGGAGGAGACGCTCCGGCGCCGCCTGCACAACCAGGTGCAGGAGCTCAAGGGCAACATCCGCGTGTTCTGCCGCGTGCGGCCGCTGCTCGGCGACGAGGTGGCCGCCGCCGGCGGAGAGATACAGCACATACAATTCACCGACGAACGCTCCCTCGAGCTGGGCAAGGCCGGAGGTAAGCCGACGACCTGAGGAGGGGCGGTCGCGGCGCAGATGGTTGTACGGGCGGAGTATGTCTCGGCACTCGACAAAAAATGTCAGCAGATATTTCCGACCAGCGGCTGCGCGATGTCGATCCGTTCGCCCCTGGTGTGTGCGCGGAAATTCCTCCCATGCGACACCTGAAAACATGATCTGTATCCTCGCCGTCAAAACGTGCGTCATCGTCGTAGCCCTGCGTGTCCATCTCTATCCTCACCGATGGCCGGCGCCCCTGTCTGCTGTGACTGGCCGGTCGGCCGGGCGCGGGCCGCCCTCCCCGCCCTGAGCCGTGCTCGCCGCTGCCGCAGCCGCCTCTGCCAACGGCGCCGGCGCCGGCCTCAACGAGACGATGAGCGGACGGCGCCGCGAGAGCGACGGCAAGGTCGGCTTCAGCTTCGACCGCGTCTTCCCGCCGCGCGCCTCCCAGGCGGAGGTGTTTGAGGAGATCTGCCAGCTGGTGCAGGTGAGCCGGCTGCCAGCTGTTGGCTGTGGTGCTCCACCGGTGGCCCGGCGCTGCACGGTAGCAGCATGCCGGCGGTGCTACTTGCGGGGTTGCTGCAGCCGTCTGTTCATCAGCTAACCAGCTGGTCGTGTGTAGCCGGACATTGCGTTAGATTCGGTCTTGCAGTGTTGAGATTTCTGTCGTCTTATACTTTATGGTGGCAGCAGGAATCGACCGGCCGCTGCATGCTCGCCCTCGGTCTTGCTCTTTCTCTGTCCCATCCGTTCCAGTCGATTCCTGACGGCTACAATATGTGTTGGCCCGACGCCTGTCCAACAACACCTCTGCCCGTTTCGTTCTGTTCGTTCTGGATGAGTTTCACGAGTGTCCGTGTGTTCGACCCTTGTCTAATTCCTTGATGGAGCTTAAATGACCTCCGTCTGATCCGTGTTCCACCCACCCTCTCGTGCAGGCCCACCGTGTGCGTGCTTGAGCCCTGTCTAAGCCCCGCCCCGCCCCGTGCGCTCCGTTGCAGTCGGCCCTGGACGGCTACAACGTGTGCGTGTTCGCGTACGGCCAGACAGGGTCGGGCAAGACGCACACGATGGAGGGCGGCCGCGATGAGCAGCTCGAGGGCATGATCCCGCGCGCCGTCCGGCAGATCTTCCAGACGCGCGACAGTCTTGCTGAGAAGGTGGGCGGGCGCCGGGGCTGGCGGGCCGGGGGTCGGCTGCGCTCGGGGCCGGCTGCGCGGGCCGCCTGGGTCAGTCGGCTTTGATTCGGGGCTCATGGTGGAATAGAGGGCGTTGCTCCACCGCGTGCTGGTGCGCCCAGGTCTTATAACGCCCACTGATGGGGTCAGCGGGTCTTGTTCGGTGAGTTGTCTGCACGCAGTTTCTGAACAATCTGTGCTCTCTTTCAAGGCAACGTGTGGCCAAATGACACTGGTTGACCTCCGCTGACAGGGATGGAGCTACACTCTGGAGGCCAGCTTCTTAGAGATTTACAATGAAACCATCCGCGATCTTCTGAACACAAGCAAGGAGAAGCCCACCTACGAGATCCGCATGGTGGAAAACAAGACTGGAAACAAGAACAAGGAGGTGTATGTCACTAACCTCAAGGTTTGTCAATACTGTAGGCACTCTTTTTGTTGGTTGGTAGCGTACGTCATGTCAGATAAATCATGAATGCCAACACAAGCCATTGTCACATAGAATCATTGAAATATTGATGGTAAAGATGATATGCGTTCGACCTACCCTCTATCTTGTACTTTTAAGACCGGTGCCCTCTATCTTGTAATTTTAAGACCGGTACCCTCTATCTTGTAATTTTAAGACCGGTACCCTCTATCTTGTAATTTTAAGACCGGTCCACCACTCAGTACATGCCAATCGGTATTTCTGCCAATCCTCCACAATGCTGCTCGATGCCCCTTTTTCCGACTATTGACACATTCATATTCGCCTTTTTCATCATTGTGACATCTGCCAGCCACATATACTGCCGTTGTTGTCACCGTTGTAACCGTGGCCATCCGGGCCGCATGCTCCTGAATGGCTCGTTCGTGCGCGCTCCGCCGGCCGGCCGGCGTGACGCCTGTCGGTGCGTCGCCAGGTGGTGACGGTGGCGGACGCGGCGGCCGTGGCCACGCTGCTGGAGCAGGCGCGTCAGCAGCGCGCCGTCGCCGCCACCAACTGCAACGAGCACTCGTCGCGCTCGCACTCGGTGTTCACGCTGCGGCTGAGCGGACAGAACCGGCTGACGACCGAGACCTGCCACGGTAGGCGCTCCGCTGGTGGCGCGAGGGGTGGGGGGGGGGGGGCGGCGGTGCCCCAGCGGCTGACGACCGAGACCTGCCACGGTAGGCGCTCCGCTGGTGGCGCGAGGGGTGGGGGGGGGGGGGGCGGCGGTGCCCCAGCGGCTGACGACCGAGACCTGCCACGGTAGGCGCTCCGCTGGCGGTGCGGGGGGGGGGGGGGCGTCCCGGCGGCTGACGATCGAGACCTGCCACGGTAGGTGCTCCGCTGGCGGCGCGCGGGGGGAGGAGGGCGCCTCGGCTGCGGACGAACCGCTCAGTCAGAGGTTAGCTGGGGGCTTTGAAATTGGCTTTGCCTCGTTCTGATGAGGCATCCATGCACAGGCGTGATATAGCGCTCATCGGCGGTTTAGCCCAATGTAAATGGATCCAGCGGCTGGACCCAGCTCGAACACAACAACATCAGTGACGGGCAGTAATCCTGCCGCCGCCGTGTATACGTCACCATGGGCTGAAGTGTTCGCGCCGCACGCTACATTCACGTGCATTCGATGGGTTACAAGGAGGGGAGGGAGGTGCGGGCTCACGGGAGCACCAGCGCTCGCTCCTCTTGTGACCCGCCGTCGTCTGCCAGGCTCGCTGAACCTGGTGGACCTGGCCGGCTCGGAGCGGCTGAAGGAGTCCGGCTCGCAGGGCGACCGGCTCACCGAGACCAAGAACATCAACAAGTCGCTGGCCAACCTGGGCAACGTCATCATGGCCCTGGGCAACAAGGTTGGCGGCCGGGCGGTGCGGCGCGGGCCGGCGTGCCCCGGAGGTCGGCGTGGTGCCGTGTTCTGTAGTCTTGTGTCGATCAGCAGTGTCGATCTTCCACGCAGCAGCATTTTTCCCATTATCTGTATCGCTGCATATCAGAGTTGCTCTTTTCGTCGCGCGCGACGTACTTTCGAGTATGCGTAGCCTGCTTAATGATGGGCTTCACGTCACTTCAGTCACATTCTGGTAGAAGCCTCTGCGTGTCAAATGATCGGCTTCACGTCACTTCAGTCACATTCTGGTAGAAGCCTCTGCGTGTCAAATGATCGACTTCACGTCACTTCAGTCACATTCTGGTGGAAGCCTCTGCGTGTCTAATGATTGGCTTCGCGTCACTTCAGTCACGTTTTGTTGAAAGCATCTGCCTTTCTAATGATCGGGTTCACGTCACTTCAGTCACACTGTGTTGGAAGCCTCTGCGTGTGCTGTGGTGGGAGCATTCTTGCAATGCTTACCGTGTCGCCGGACGCCTCCATCACCAGCGCCGACTAACCGTGTACTGTTCTCACTTGCAGCAGGACCACGTGCCGTACCGCAACTCGAAGCTGACGCACCTGCTGCAGCACTCGCTGGGCGGCAACTCCAAGACCCTGATGTTCGTGAACGTGTCGCCGCGCGAGGACTGCGCCTCGGAGACGCTCAACTCGCTGCGGTTCGCGTCGAAGGTGAACGGCTGCCACATCGGCACGGCCACCCGTCGCACCAAGTGAAGCGCTCCGGCGGGCTGAGGCTCGGCGCCGCGCCGCCCCGCCGCACCGGCGGCTCGTCCGGCTGGCACCGACACGCCGACGTCGCCGCTGGTGGCAAGGAGCGCCGCACCGCCGGCGGTCGTGCGTTGGCGGCGGGACGGGGCTCTCGAACCGGAGGAGCTCGCCTACCCACCTCCCCCGAGGCGCGGCGGGAGGTCGCGAGCGGGCCGACCGGTGTTTTCGCGACTTGAATGCAGCCGCTGTGGTTGATGGTGACCTAGACTTCATAGCTCCTGTGCCGCATGTAGCTGATATGTAGATGCTTCTGCTACTGTCGCAAGCCTTCGACTGTACATACTTTACGTCCCACAGCTGCAGTAGTCTGGCTGATTCAACGGACGCCCGAGGCACCCTTTGGCGGCCCGTTGAGCATAGCAAGCGAGTGACGCCTTTTTGAATAAGCCGTGTTTAGGCAAATTGTGGTTTTGCACTCTGAAGATTCGAAAAATGCACCCATCTTGAAAGTCCCAACTCAGTGGAGATTTCGTGCGTATGCGTGGTGTACAATCATATCTGGATGCTCATATTTTGGCCGAGAGGGTTACGCATGCTTTAATGTAATTTGGAAATATAATCTGTTCTTGCTTTGTGATGTCTATTCCCGTAAGCTAGTTACCAGAGTAACTAGAAACAGCGATCGTCACGATAATAAGCAAATAAGCTCGTAGCGAGGCCCACGTGTCACCGCTCTACGTGAGACCGTACTGTTCGGCATCCACTAACAGTGCGGTCTCACGTAGGTGTAAGGTGCGACAGCTCTGCTGCATAGCGCATGCGATGTGATATCACGGTCGGTGACGTTGCGTATCATTGTGACTTTACGACGCGCCCAACTGCTGAGGCTACATGGCGTCGCCCTGGCAGGAAGTGCAGGCACCGCGGGAACCGAACCCCGCGCCCCTGGTTTACCAGACTACGCTGCCGATGTCCCGGGGTGAGGCCACGGGGCGTCCCGTCCTCTCCTCGTGCTACGTGCAAGTGGTATATACACATGCGTGGTGGAGAATGCCCGTTCCGCCCCGGCATTTGGCCTCGCCAATACTGGACACGGCACTGAAGTGAACAAGGGTCATGTGCGCTACGCCGTATTATATTGAGAGTATTATGCTAGCTATACTCTCATGTACATAGATAGCTCCGAGTCGGATGACAGTGCGGGGGGTGCGTTTGTGAGGACGCTCGTGGTAATCGGTCCTTACATTGTCGGCGCCTACGTCCGCTTTGAGTGTCGGGTCGTTGCCATCTCGAATTGCACGGTGTTTTATCACCACGGAACGAGAATTTACACGCCGTTTTATCAGACCTTTGAATCAGTGGCCTGTTGGCTGCAAATCCTTTTCGTCTGATGTGGTCCGTTATGCAGGGTTCTCAGCTCGCCTGTCTACGCTTGACAAGATAGGGAGAAGGTCGTGCGCTGTTAGATACCTGGTCACGTTGGCATCGCTGGGAACGAGCTGGCAGATACGGCTGCTAAACAGGCGACGCGTGGGTCGTGCACTCGAACCATGGCTCACCCCGCTGGAGATCTTTATGCGGACATTGGATGTTATGTATATAAATATATATATATATATATATATATATATAGAGAGAGAGAGAGAGAGAGAGAGAGAGAGAGAGAGAGAGAGCGAAAGAGAGAGAGAGAGAGAGAGAGGGGGGGGGGGCTAAATATACCTAGTAAGTGGCAGCACAGTTCGAACAGATCATCGAACAATAGCTCTGAGAAGTAAAATAAAAATTAGCGCTATAGTCCTCGAGCTCCCGTCCATCAAGAGGAGATGAAGTTACACTTCGCATGCTACGCATCTGCCACACAGAAAGCGCGTGGTGGCCTGCTGTGTGGCGAAGACAGGCCAGAGCGTGCTTGCCGTGATGCTCCCCTCGCGGCTCTCCATATTCTTCAGTCATGCCAGTAATTGAACAATGAACATCCGCATCATTTCTGATGTCACGCTTCACCGCTGAGTTACCGAGATGTGCGTTGAGTGAGGATGCGTTCGCCATTGAGGCAGACAAGCTTTTCGGATTGCCGAGAACGATCTGATTGTCCGCAAAATATGCTGGACGGTACGTAACGCCTCCATGTGGGCGCGAAATGACCTCAGCAGTCGACGCGCAAGCAACAGCCAACCCCAATCATCAACAAGAACGAAATAACACAGTTCTCTGTTTTGACCCTGACTTCGGTTTCACGTTGAAATGAAATGCAATAAGTTGTAAGATTTATTACATATTCGCAGGCTGAGGTGTGTATAAATGGTGAACCATGAAATACAATTCAAGACCAAACAACAATCCGGATCGTTAAGAATCGGCATGCCCGCCGAAATACAAGGAATGCTGCCAGGGGTGCAGCCAGAGGCTTGACGGGGGCACCAGGCATAACTGGAATATAGGCTAAACGCTACCGCGAGCTCAATTCTGCCCCAAGTATATAGTAAAGAAACTGACAAAATCATGCGCTAAATGACTGTATGAAATAAATCGTCGGCGCTTTTCACCTTATGATGGTTCAGTGGACTCTTTCAAACCGAGAGAACTCAGAAATTTTGTTAGAATTTTTATCTGGGTTCTACACAGATAGCGAGGATTCCGCGAATATAGATGGAAGACAAAAATAGGTCAACAGGTTACATTATCATAGCCAAACCATGTTTGTCTGGATAAGTTAAACGATCGGTAGAGATTGTTAAGTGGTACAAATTATGAAACGCGTGCGCAAATCTAAGAAACAAAACAAAAAACGCGACGCGGGGCGTTCCAGCCTCCATAGGCTACGCAGCGTTGGCCCCGCGGCTCATACTAGGCCGTGGCCAACAGGTGGACGAAAATGGTGACGCCTCTGAAAGAAATACCTTTGAACGTTTCCTCCTGCAAGGCACCACCATTCCGTGGTGGGGGGATTGTGTGCCCTAATGATCCTGCGAGCGGTAGGGGAGGCTTGTAAAGCGCTCCTTCCGGCCAAAGGGAGGGGCCAGAGGAAACGCGCCTTCCGCAAGGGCTCTGACTCGTTCAGAGTAGAGGTTAGCAACCCCTTGGCCCCAGCTTTCCAGCCTTATCGGGGTCTCGCCGTACCCCGTTGGATCGGCAGGTGGCGATGAAGGGATCCTGGTCACTGAGGGAGTTGCCCTGCGATCAGTCGGAACAGCTTACCAACACGTGGCTTGGGCCCGAATTTGTGATCCTGAGGATGCCTCGTGAAGTCTCAACACCAGGAAATCGGCTGGTCAGGCGTTGTGTTTTCGCGACACTGGCTTGAAGGCGAGCAGGCTATGTGATGGGTGTTGAGGGGAGAGCTGCCGGGTGCAGAGTCTGTCTCCGGACATCATCAAGAGGCCGTACCTCGGTTTGCTACCAGGGTGCCTAGTTAGCCCCTGCGGACCGAGGCACTGGCGGCCGCAGACTCGTGCCCGGCGGCTCTCGCAGCAACTCTTTTGGCACACTGGTCTGCGTATAGCGTGCTGGTAGCCATGGCGGCTCCTCTCTTAGAAGCAGACCGTCCCCGTGTTGGACTCCATGGTGGGCGGGGAACCAGCGCGCCGAATATAAACATATACTAATGGTGGACACTATATCATCAACCAACGCCCCCAAACCCCGACCGCCGCAGCCAAGGAGAAAGCGGAAGTTGTCCACTCACGGACGCTGAGGTGAGACGACCTGTGCCACTGCCCCAGTTTTTGGTCTTAAGATCCGCTAAGGTAGATGACCAAGGAAAAACAGTACCGTTCCGACTGAACCCATTGCAGCGCCAACAAACATTTTTCAAGATCGGAACACCCGAGAATGTCATTTTGTATATGGATGAGGGAATATAAGTGCATTTAACATACGAACGCGAGATCCAGCGCATGCTCAAGACGATCACACTTATCTACAAAGTACGAGGACAGGGAGAGGTTAGGGCGCCCGTATCGGGGCACCTTCACCCCTCTAAGAACTACTTCAAGGGTGTGATTACTTGCCGAGACCTTCGCGGTGTGAATGGTGAGGATATTGCTGAGGGCTTGTGTGAGGAAGGGGTACCCGCGGTGAGGCATATTAAGAGGAGAGAGGGAGAGAGAGAGAGAGAGAGAGAGAGAGAGAGAGAGAGAGAGAGAGAGAGAAGAGAGAGAGAGAGAAGAGAGAGAGAGAGAGAGAGAGAGAGAAAAGAGAGAGAGAAAGAGAGAGAGAGAAGAGAGAGAGAGAGAGAGAGAGAGGAGAGAGAAAGAGAGAGAGAGAGGGAGAAGAGAGAGAGAGAGAGAGAGGCTAGATAGAGAAGCTGATTCGGATACTGATTCCTGATTTCTGACGTTTTGCTCCTGAGAAAGGTGTCAGATAGGGTCCGTGTCGGATATCAGTCGGTCCCTGTTAAGGTCTATGTGCCCGATCCAGTCCGGTGCTACCCATGCCAGACGTATGGTCGCTTCACTGAGAAGTGCTGGAAAACAGTTAGATAAGGAAGGTGTGCAGAAATAGGTCACTAACGCTCTTAGTGTGAATTAGAAGCAGTGAAATGCGTCAACTGTGGTCAGGGACATGTGGCGTTATATCGTAGCTGTCAGTCCTTCTTGTCAGAGAAGGCTGTCCTGAGCATCAAGGTGAATGAAGGAGTCTCGTTTCGGGAGGCCCGATGTCGACACAGCGATACGACCACCGCAAGGAGATACAAAGACGCCCTTACTAATCCGGCAAGGAATTTAGTCCTGGCAACACCCGCAGCCAACGAGGTACTGAAACTGTGTTAACTTGATTTCAAAGGCATGACTGTGGGCGAGTTTGTGCAGCTGATTCTAAGCACACTTATACCAACTGGCCCTGCTGCCCCGTCGTCCCAGAAGTCGGATCCTCCGAAAAAGAGTTCACCTGCGGCATTGGTCGCTGCCAAAGAAGCTCAACCTATAGGGTTGGGGCCCCCTGGTAGAGCTGTCAGAGAACCTGGGACTGGGGTGCGACCCGGAAAGGGGGATGAACCGCGGACCAGCGAGGCCGTGGACTTCGCCCCCCCCCCCCCCCCCCCCCATCATCGCACCCCAGCCCAGCCTGTGCTGAAGACACGCCCTCCCGGGCTCCATCTTCCCCTCCATTCAGCTACGACGGGACCTGTTCCCGCTGGCACAGCGGCGCTACGAGGGCTGACCCCCTCTGGCTCCACAGCTAGTGGTCCTGTCGGGAGCGCCGGTCCGCCCGGCTCACGGGAGCCGGATAAGGTTTGGCATCCCCCATTCGTCGCTCCCTCCCGGAGCCGCCCCTCTGAAACTGGTGTTCGTCCGGGTTCTCTGGGCCTTGGACCTGCAGAGCGCGCCACCAGGTCGGCGTCTACACCGCGGACCGGAGTCCGACTCCCGCTGTCGACTCCACCCCACTCGCCGGGAGGATCATTGGGTCCGCCTCCCATTCCTCCACTTGGAGACGGGGAGTCAGGTCGGCCTACCCAGCAGTCCCCGGCGGCAGGTCGTGCGACGAAGCGTGCCCCTCCTTGGCCGACATCGCCTACCGAGGATGGAAGTCCCAAGGCTCAGCCAAGGGTCTGGTTTAGCTCCACTGAAGTAGAGCGTCGCCAGGGAGATTTTAGTGCGAAATCCTAGGTGAACGTTTAAAGCGCATGTA